TGTCAACATTACAATGTCAATACGTCGGTGAAAGATCGAATATTGCATTACATTCTTGTACTCGTACATTCGGACCCTCACCGGTGTATGTCGACACTCACGGATGTGCTCTGGTGTAGGTTGAAAAGAGAGGAGTATATGTACACGCTGTCATTGCAAAAGGAAGTGTTCCACAAATATATGCTGTTGTAAAAGCAAGGGCCTCTTGTGCAATTGAAAGTGTCATAAGAGTTTAAGTTTTTGCAATAAATAAGATTTGAATCACGTAATTTAGTAAGTTTTATAACTTCTATTATTTTCCTTCTCATTTTGAATGTACAGTGTGTTTTAAGTTCTTATATTCTTAAGTTCTTAATTCTGAGTTTAAGTGCGTTTTTCGTGACCGAATTACGGAGAAAAATATAATATTCTTATGTGTTCAACATTCACCATTAGTAGATGGTGAATGTCGGACATTTACCGGTGTAAGTCAGAAATAAGAGTATTTGGAAAATATTTCGGACATACACCAAGCGACTATGTGAATGTTGACATTCACCGGTGAAATTCGACATTCTCCGATTTCGGTGTTTCACCGTAACATATACATAATAAATAACACGTAGCTACCCTGTGCATTTTAATATATAGTACTGTGGATAGGTTAGCTACTTTAGAGTGTTCATGTACTGGGCTCCATCATACACACACTAAATAGCACACTAGCATGCCGCGCAAGAGCACTAGTACCATACAACGAGACACTCAGGAATAAGGCAGTTAGTACTGAAGACTGGGTAGGAATCTGTAGTGACATGACAAATGTCCTGTCCCAAAGCCTGCAGTTTTTCCAATATGAGTTTTAGTTTTCTGAGCAGAGCAGGCTGCTTAATGAAGAAGAGTGCTATAATATACAATTAGTGTTCTAGCGCATGGGTGCGAGGCAGATCTGAGTAACGTTATCTATATTGTGTATAAATTATTACAATAATATTTGTTTTGCACATGCGTACGTTGTTGCACGTACATAAACATTCCACACTAATAATTAAACATTTTACTCTTGGTTACAAGCCAGTTCTACAATGATAGATAACGTTATCTATATTGTGTATAAATGGGAATTTAAATAGACGGCGCCTGAACAGTTTGCTGATAGATAGCCTTATCATAACAGAGATCTTAAGCAGGGTTATACAGTTAGAAGACGCCCAGACAGTATAGTGGTTAGGGGAGCCTATCGGCCGTACCGAAGCTCCCGGAGAAGGCATGGATATTTGTACATGTATACTGCCTTTTCGGCATGGGGGCACTACTCTAAATATATGGCGAACCGAAAGTCCTCTCGTGTGGTTTGGTGGAAGTGAGGAGAGAGAGAACGGGGAACGTGGGCACTATCCCTTTACTAAACGGTTAATCAGTATAGCACCACGTCCACCTCTATCTATAGCACCCCTTCAATGTTTATGGCGGGAGGAGAATTTACGCTGTCTGAAGTAAGTCCATACCCGAGTGGGGTGGGAGAACCTCTGACCCTCCATCGTGCTTTCCCTCAAAATTGGGCTGGAAGTAGAAGTCTAACCTCCTTGATGCTCTAGCAACTTCCATGACAGTCATGGACAAAACAACAACAACAACAACACTAGGCTTCGAAAATTATGGCAACTTCCATGACAGTCATGGACAAAAACAACAACAACACTAGGCTTCGAAAATTACGGCAACTTCCATGACAGTCATGGACAAAACAACAACAACAACACTAGGCTTCGAAAATTATGGCAACTTCCATGACAGTCATGGACAAAACAACAACAACAACACTAGGCTTCGAAAATTATGGCATATTACGTGGGATCCGAATCTTAAAAGAGAACAACTGGCAAATTAAGAAAATATTGTTACGAAATGTACAGGCGCGGTAAGATGGCTTCCCCGCAAAGCAGGTTTAAGGTTGCCATAAAATAGCAAGAGAAGGCAGGGTTGCCACATTTGGCGACATTTGGCGACCTTCTGAATGGAGAACCTTCTGGAACGAATTCTTACCGGTTTAGCCCAGAATGTTCTCGAACACAAGTCGAAAGCTATATAAACGCTTCTGGTCCGCAGACAGTTAGTTTGTGTGCCTCGCATAGAGTGCGAGAGAGTCAGTATCGAGTTGGTGTCTCATCTAGCGAGTCAATCCCTGCGGAGTCGATGGAGTGCACCGAAGAAGTCTGTTAGTGCATCGTCGAGAGAGCGTGTTGAGCTTCGGGAACGACTGAACCGAAGAGTCGGGAGCTGTGCTCGTGTGTCGTCGAGTGCATAGCGAGTTGTAGCGTGGAGAGTCTCAAAAATACGTGGAGTTCTGAGAACGACCAAGCAGAGTCGGGTGCTTTGCAGGAAGCTGTCTCCACCGTGATAGCCTGATAACCTGAAGGCTGTGTCGCTGATCGTGTCAGCGTGTCTATAGTAGTTCATCGACGACTGTAAAACGTGTTTTGGAGCTGTTCTGACAATACTGGCTAATAAAGTGTGTTTGGATACTTCATCAAGTGTCGTCGTTATTTCACTCCAAATCCATACAAACCCCGTACGAACGTGAAGGAGGAAAATAACCCAACAACTGGTGTCAGAAGAAAAGAAAAAACGTAACAATATTAATGGTTATAGAAATGAAAAATGGGAAAGTAAAGCCTTGATAGCAATGATTGTTCCTTGTGGTCGTTTATTAATAAATTTAAAAGAAGCTATGTTATGAATTTTTAATCTTTTAAAGATATTGCCAATATCATTAAAAGATTAAAAATTCAAAAAGCCCCAGGCTTTGACAAAATTTCCAATGCTGCAATGAAATATTTTTCAAAAAATGTTACAGCTAAATTTACTAGAGCAATTAATATCTGTCTGGATATTTCTTACTTCCCTGAAAAATGAAAATGCGCGAAAATATTCCTTTTACCTAAACGTGGTAAAGACACAACCAGGCCAGATGGTTACAGATCAATCAGCCTATTATGAGGCTTAGAAAAAAATTCTGAAAGAATCATTCTGTGTAGAATGAAACCATATCTTGAAATTCTACCACTTGAATAATTAGGCTTCCGACAAAATCTTTCTAAACAGTTAGTAAGACTTGTTGAGTTTGCTGGCTCGGCTCTTCATAATTGTCTAAATGTTTTCTTATTCATGCTGAACGTGGCTAAAACATTTGGCCGCGTCTGCATGAAGGGCTAGATTACAAATTAATAAACATAAATTTCCGTAGAGAAATTGTACTTTTAATTATGTCCTTTCTTACAACAGAAAATTTACAGTTACTATTGGTAAAGCACAATCAGATTTACGAGAAATCAGAGTTAGAGTTCCACATGGCTGTATCTTAGGACCTATCCTTTACCTCTTCTACGTGATGGGCTTTCCCAAACTAGTGAATTATGCAAATTATTTTATGGGCTGTTATACTCAGGATACCGTTTTAACAGTCAAATCAGCAAACGCAAACGATGCGATCCGAAAGCTCCAAGAGTTGATGCCAATAACTGAAGACTGGTGCACAAAATGGAGAATATCCCTCAACTAGCATTAATCTCAGTTGTTATTTATTCTTAAAAAGCACGTGAATATTTTACCTATGAAAAACCTGACATTTTCATTATGATGAAATTATTCCAAAAGTTCGTAGAGCCAAATATCTTGGTATCACTTTCAATAGCAAACTTAATTGGAAGGATCACAAAAAAAAAAAAAAAAAAAAAAAAAAAAAATATTAAGAATAAAGCAGAAAAAGTCATCAACTGCCTTTTTTCAATTATTGGCAATTATTCTAAACTAGATTTAAGAGAGAAACGCCTCATTTACATCTCAATTATGCGTCCAGTCCTTACGTGCAAGGTAAATATCTGCGCATCCTTATAAATGCGCACTTGTACGTGCGCAATCAAAGATTGTACATGCGCAATCAAAGATTGTACATGCGCAATCAAAGATTGTACGCGCGCAATCAAAGATTGCACGAGGACCTCAAACTTAAAACTACTGATAAGTTTCTCAACAAAATCAATAGAAAATTTTATAAGAAATTCGACCAAGAGGGTAAGGAATTACCTTCTTATGCTGCACATGTCGTAAGAGATTAAAATTTTGCAAAGTAAATTCTGCACATGCGGTTCTGAACTTGTATATACTGCGTGCAGTTGTTTTTCTGTCTCTTTTTGAGTTTTTTTCTTTGAATTTATTTACCCGTTTTTATCTCTACTTTGATGCTAATCCGATATTCCAATCCAATATGATTCTAATTTGATCTCTGAAACATAAGAGAAAATGTTCTCCTCTCTTCAACATTTGTTAAATTTTCTCACCTGGGAATCTCACTTGATGCATTTTTACGTGAAGTGGCTTTAAGGTAACATTTTTATTGAGGCAACATTTTATTGAGGCGGACACATTGCGAAATTCGCAACATTGCTGCATAATGCTGCATAATTGTAACATTGTTGCAACATTATTACAATGTTACATAATTGTAAAATTGTAACATTGCTGCAACATTGCTGCATAACCTGTAACGATATCTCCGTTACAGATTTCTTTTCCCTTGATGAAGAGGGACTTGTACTTGTTTACCCACGAGATAGTCTTGACTATAATCCACGCCAAACACAAGGGTGTTGCTTTGCCAATTTGTTTTGGTCATAATGAGTATTTTACAATAAAATTCCCAATATACTGACACAATGCAGTTGCAAAAAGTTAAATCGTTAATCGTTTGTTTCTCGCCAGTACGTAGAAGATCTTTAACCGTTCATTTCTCGTCATGCGCCAAATCTATATTTTCGCTAAGGCCGCTACAGAAACCAAATATCAACTCTGTTCCTTTTCGAAGATTCAGATTGCTTTACACATTTTATCATAAATTAGCTTGACATTAATTCATTCATGAAATAACAAAATTATTCTAGCTATGTATATAAAATTTATATTTAAAAACACTTTCTGTAATTTTGTTATCTTTATTATATAAATCCAAAATTGCGTTCCAGTGTCAAGAAGTCGTGGTGCCTGTATACTCTTGTATGCGAGAGAGAAATTTGTGCAACTTCGTCAAATCCAGCCTCCTAGCCATGTGCTTCCTTTTTGTTGTGTACTCTATAACCGGATGTTTCGGTTATCTGACTTTTGGATCTGCCGTAGCCCACAATGTAATGAAGATGTACGATGCTTCGGATCCTTTCGTGATGGTAGGAGTGGGGGCATTGATTGTCAAGATGATTGCTACTTATCCCATATTAGCTCTTTGTGGAAGGTAAGTGAGCTTTTGTTTATACTTCCATACTTCAGTAATTCATTCCTGTTTTGTGAGGTACAGAATTTATCTCGGAAATGGAATTTCGCATGAAACAAGACATTTAAAAGGCTATAAAATTGTGCGATTAAATCTTCAACAGTGCGGCTGAATTTGTAATTGTTGCGAAATGCCCAGCTGCGGTAAAATAGCTTCCCCGCGAAGCGGAGTTAGGGTTGCCAGAAAGAGGCAGGGAAAGGCAGGGTTTCCAGATTAAGCGCGAAATTGCCCACTTGGCAATAAAATTGCCGATATGCCACAGACGGAGCGAGAGCATTTTAGAACATATTCTTAGCGTGTTTCCTCGGGAATGTTTTTGAACGTAGGTTAAGCCGTGAAGTTGTTTTCAACGTTACAGCCTGATAGATCTGCTACAACAAAATCTAAGCAACTGCCTTTCATTCTCAGTTCGAGGGCTTTAAAACTCTTTTTACTTAAAGTTCACACAGTCTGAATTTCAACGGGATTTTTGCAATAAAAACTTCAGAAAATGTTGCAGTTCAGATTAACGAAAAACTGTACAAAATTACTGAATCCGACAGAATGGAATTTCTTGGACGTGTTCAATCTATGTAGTTCATCATCATAAAGTAAGTCAGCGTCAGTTTGAACAATAAGGTTTAATTTTAGAAAATGTATACAGAACTGTAAAACCGTAACACATCAAATTAATATCATTAATTCTTCACTTAATCCAACTAGGTTATTTATAATTAAAAAAATCTGATGTGTACACCAAATGATGTGTACCTTGTACGGAATATTAAATTATACGCATTTTTTCTTGTATTTCATTTGCATTTATTGGATTGAATTAAATCTACTTCGCCGACAGCGCTTAAACCACAATAGAATAAATGAACTCTTTAAAATTAACTATATTTGTTTACCATAGCGACACTCTGGCGCTTGGATCACTTAACAGTATTTCATTTAGTTCATATTATAACTCAGAACGCACAAAATTTATATCATTTGAAGAATTATCTAATCGTTGCCACATGTTCTATTCAAATACTATAATAAATCTAGAACGATGTATAAAAGAAATTAAGCAAACAAAACAAAATAGAAACAGTTTTTTACAGACGATTGAGTACTTCTCATTCAATTAATTCAGTTCTCACTTCGCGACAAGGCAAAAATGCATAAAAACTCAAAATATCTGTATTAAAAATTACGAAGTAAATCTTAAACGCTTATTTCCTCGAAAAAATTCCAGAAAGGATTAAGCATAATTTAATTCGCAATAATAAATGAAGGCGTTAGCTTTGTTGTTGCGAAGCTAAGTTTCTCTAGATTGTCAACAAATCCCCTATTCTCCTGTTTCAAATGCAAACAAGCAATGGCCGCCATCAAAAACATTATTAGGCTTAGCGGCACTTAAACAACTTTAAAATTGTTGATAATTCTAAAGATATTGCATACAGATTTACTAAAGGCATAAAAACATTAACCGGAAGATAAGAACAACATAATACAATCATTTTTTAAAGCAAAAAATGTACAATTTACAAACACATAAGAGTAAAGAAACTGAGATCACTGAGCCGGGTAACAGAGTGGATATATATATAAATATATTTATATACGTTTAATGCGGCCGATTGCAACCAAAATACGAGGTGTACATCTAAATGTTATAGCAGTCCTATATACAAAATTTCAACATTCTGAGGCTACTCGTTTTTGAATTATGCGAGATACGTACGTATCTGTACATACGTGTACATACATACATTCTGTACATACGTTTCTGTACATTCGTTCGTACAGACGCCACGAAAAATTCTCTTAAGAATTCATTTTAAAGCAGTTTTATAATTTTTTTTTTTGGAGAAAAGAGTCTTTTATTCTGTCCTTACGTACAGATATCACGAAAAAACATCGTTAAATTGCATTCGATAGGGGTCAAAATGGATATTTTCGTTGAAATATGCTGCTTGAAACTTTTCGCGATTACAATACTTCCTTTTTACTTCGTAAAGGAAATAAAAAATTATAATTGGTCTTGGAATAAAAAGAAGTCACCCAATAAAAACAAGCATTAGGAGAAACCCGATTGCAGGAAGTTAATAAAGTAAATCAGTTAATTCCTATTTAAATAATTTTGCTGCTTAATTCATTGGCAGCAAAATTATTTATTACATTGACCCTGTGCTTCGTCAAACATAAATTGAGACACGTCACCCTGACTGAGAAGATAACTACAGAAGATTTTTAATGAATCAGGCATTCGGCCATATATTAACGAAAATGGAAGCAATTTCAAGAATGTAGTATTTTTAAATAGTGCTAGAAACTTTAAATATTTTAAAACTAAGTTTCTTGATTGTTCTATAGTTATAATTCTATATTTTCATTGAATTTCTACCTTTTTGCTGTCACCTCAAAGATTCACCTAAGCAAAGTGCCTCCCCCTTGTCTCTTCTTAAAAAAAAAAAAAAAAAAAAAAAAAAAAAAAAAAAAAAAAAAAAAAAAACCTCAATGACGTAACTGCTTTAATGTTCCAAAGCCTGTAGTACTCGAAATCTGCTTTCTTGACCGTGTGCCTCGGGGTGCGTAAGCATGTGCTCTGAACAAGTGGTGAGCTTGGTCGCAGGACCCCCAGTGTTTAGTCCTCAAGCGAACTTGGTACTCATTTTATCGACCCAAGTGATAGAAATCAAGAGATGAAAGGCTGATCTTGTCTCTTCTATAGGGTAAAATATTCCAGTTTTCCAAACTTAGAGTGAAGAAGTAGAAAATTATAAAAATCAAGGTTACCACTCAGAGCTGTAGCTAGAGTTTCCAGCTCCCAAATTTGACAAACAAAAACACACACACACACAAAAAATAATAATAATAATAATAATAATAATAATAATAATAATAATAAAAAATATAAATTTAAAAAAAAAAAATTCCCTACAAACGAAGATCTCGCGCCCTCCTCCTGTTTGCCAAGAGTGGAAAGCATTTCATTCTAAAAATGTGTGATTTCGATTATGATTCGTGAAATCAGTTTGGCGCCCACTGGAAGCTGCGCCAGAGAACAAATGTTCCCCCTTGTCCCCTCTAGCTATGCCCCTATAACGATTGTCAAAAATAATTAGACATAGCATTGCTACGTAGTGTTGGCAGAGAAGGTTTCATACTTTGGATGATGTAATGAGTTGACACTAGAAACCATATATATAGGAATAGGTTGTGTCTTATCCTTCAGAATGTCCAGTTCCGTGCATTCAAATAGACATAGCATTGCTATGCAGTGTTGGGAGAGAAGATTTTATACTTTGGATGATGTAATGAGTGATGAAACCATATAGAATATGTGTCTTACCTTCAGAAGTCCAGTACATAAATAGACCATAGCATTGCTATGCAGTGTTGGGAGAGAAGACTTTATACTTTGGATGATGTAATGAGTTGATACTAGAAACCATATACATAGGAATATGTTGTGTCTTATCCTTCAGAATGTCCAGTTACGTACATTTAAATACTATATCCCGTTAGGTTTCTTTCTAAGTCCATCATTACTATCTCTCTCAACTGGCCTCAGAAAATAAAATGTAGTTGTGTCGTGTCCACACCCGGAGAGACCATTCTCTGAGACGGATTTAGGGTTGTAAAAAGAGCGATCCGACCACAGGCACACAAAAAACCACTTTAAACTTTGAGTCTTCTACTTTAACCAGCGAAATTCAATTAAATGCTCTTGTAGATTGATTTTTGTTGCTGTTAAATACTTTGAAAAGTTTCTCTTTCGTTGTAGAGATGCTGCAGCGGGAGTCTATGCCGAATTTCGTGGTCTAAAGCCTGCCGAGTTCATTGCCACGGAGAAAATTCGCCGTTACATCTGTGCTGCCATCTGGTTCTCGAGTTCCTTATTGCTGGCTGTCTTTACGAGTGGCATCGGAATTGTCATCAAATATCTGGGGTCTGTAGCATCGGCAAACATATTTATCTATCCAGGTAAGCAGAATTTCTTTTGTCCATGAAATTTCTATTCTGTTTCTACCCTTTTAAAACGTAAATAACTTTAGGTTCCGTTAGACTAAAAATAAAGGTTTATTTTATATACCGACAGGAAAAGATACAAATCCAACGTGAAAAATTTGGCACAATGAAACAGCCACCAGCGATTATTGCTGCTTAGAATATCTGCTACATACTGCTCTGTTTCATTCCCAGCTGGACTTACTGCGTCTTTATTTACACATTCGTAGTTCACTGAATGCGTCAGTAACATGATGGCATAGCCAGAAATTGATTTTCTATCATTAAGATTTGTCACCCCTCCCCCAGTGTTACATTTACATACATACTGTCTGTCTACGAGAAGAATAGCCCCCGCCACAGTGTCTAGCAGATGGCGGTCGCTATAGCAACAAGGCTAGTATATTTCAAATAGGGACGACCGAAGGGTTTTTTTTATTGTTATATTGTTTTGGACGACTGTTGGCTGAGGGGAAAAGAGTTATCATTTGTCTTCTAGACATCCCTTCGGAAAATGGGGTAGGGCTCGTTTCTACGGCAACAGACAGCTGCAGACTAACTGACGAGAGCTTTTCTTATGATAGACAGACTGTAAGCAAATGAGAAATGTTGTTACACTTTGCGTACACTTAGTTTCCTTTAAGATGGCGAAGAATTCCCTTAAGACAGCGATTCGATAAAGTCTTTTAGAAGTAGATCCCTTTTCGAAATCAACTGACGTAGATTTAGGCGTTTGATTATGGCAAAGCACTTACCTTTTGGAGCCAGTTTAGCAGCGCAGTATTCATCTGAGTGACAAAAAAATCTGTTTCAAACAATATAATATTTAAAATGCTTCAGTGCCATTAAAGAATATTTGAACTTCAGCTCACTTGCAGTAATTTCAGTTAACGTTTACCAGCATATAATATAACTGATGAAAACACTTAAGATACTTAATCTGTGTTGATCTTCAAAATTCTGTTGATGCTCATCATTATTTGCAAGCTATCGTTACGATACAAAATGCTTTAATCTGGTAAATGTTCAATAAAATGTTTTAATATGATTATATGGTAAACTGAACTTAATTAAGGCACAATAACACGCCGAATAAATACTAATTCAGAAGACTTTAAATCATGTCATCCGACTAAACAAAAGTTAGCTTCATTTTATTCTTATGTTTTCCGTGCTCTTCAAGTTTGCTCCTCCAAACTAGCCCTTGATGAAGAACTAAATTATTTAAAAGCAATAGCTATTGACAGGGGCTTTACACCCAACATTATTAATCAAGCAGTTAAAAAATTCTCATCTCAACACACTAAAAGGCACACTCTTGTTTTAGGAGACTATAAAAATTCTGTTGTCATTCCCTTCTTCCATCAATTAGCTATAAAGTTGCACATATTTTGCAGAAATTTAACTTTCGGGTTGTTTATTCTCCCATCAATAAAATTCCGAGTTCCATACTCAAGGACCCCATTCCGGATATGAATTCCTGGGGTATTTGTAGGATTCCTTGCCAGTGTGGTTAATTTACATTGGCCAAACTAAGAGAGCCTTAAATTTCGCGTCAAGAAACATGAGGGCATATGTTAGAAAAAAGGAAACACAGAAATCTTCTGTTGCGCAACATTGTTGGTCCGAAAATCACACTTTCAATTTTTCTGCTGCCAAAATTATTCAAAAGACATCTTCCATTGGAGAGAACTGGATTTCTAGAGGCATTTCACATTCAAAAAAATCTTCTGTTCTAGTTAAACGATCCTAATTCCAATCCAAATTTGCCTTCGGCCTTTAAAGAAATTATGTTTTAATTCTGGTTTCACCAACAGATGGCGCCACTTGCTTATTCTTGTCCATGCTTTCTTATCTTATCTAATCAGTTTTTCCTATCTTGTTCATTTGCGGTTTTGCAGCTGAGGATGGTGGTTCGGTAAAACCATCGAAACTAGTCCTGTGGAAATTTTGTAAATATAACGCTGATTGTTGTTGTTTGTCTTCTGAAACTGAACTTAATTAGGTAAATGTTTTCACAAATGAGCAGTCTGTGTGATTGGCCTACAATTTACTTTTGAGGTGCAGCGTTGCGATCTCCGCACGAGAAAGATGTTGCCAAAATTGCGGATTTCAGCTGTTTTTGACGTGATTGGAGTAGCTATTAAGCTACGGTACTATTGTGAGTATATTTTATTTTATTTTTATTTCAATTACCACATAAGTAAAAGATAGTTTTGTGCTATAGGAGGTGACTTTTAATTAAATTTTACTTCTGAATGTGGTTATTGGAGATTTAGAATGTCTAAGAAACCGTTTTGTTATATTTTGATTCATTTTACTGAACAGCTTAGAATTCTGCTGAGTTCTGTTTTAAATTTGTTTTTGGAAAATAAGTAAATAAATCACCAATGATTTATTAATAGTAATTTCAACTGTTCTTTTAAAATAAAAAAAAAATTTTTTTCAGGTGTAAATGGGAATCTGAATCGAAAAATTAAATTACAATTTTTTCCGTTTCAGTTTTTGGCAACGATATCCTTTCATTTTCATTTCACACATTTTTTTTTTTTTTTTGAAGAACACTGCATTATTGTTTTATTTGATTCCTCTCTACTTCACAGAAATTATAACGCTTATTTTATTACTTTCCTCGTAGGTATTTGCTTAGTGAAGATGGCGATAAAAGAAGATTCGGACTTGAAGAGTAATCGGAGTCGGTTTCTCGTCTTTTACGGCATCTTCATTGCAGCTATGGGAGCCTTTTGCTTTGGCGTCGTACTCTTCCAGGCGATTCTCAGTAATGATTCAGATCCACCCATAAAACTGTGCAAATGAAGGAACGATGAGAAGAAAGAAAATTCTTGACATTTGACGTTTTACTGTATGTCCCTCTACCATCTCTTGGTGGATGTTCTGAACTAACGTTTGAGAAACGAAGTGATGAAGTTTGTAAAATAATGGAAGTTTTTTGTGATTGCGTATAAAGTGAGTAATTTCACTTAAGACTGTTATATAAAAGACTTTTAAAACATTTTGCGCTTTCTAGATAATGGCAGCTTCATGAACTTTGGATATGACTTATTTATTTCATCTATTATACTAGTAAAAAATTTTGGTACTATTCGGTTTCCAGGGCCGTAAAAAATCGCCAAACTATCGTTGATGCCAATGCTGCCAAAAATAATTGCGGCAACCCTAATAATTGAGGTAAGAAAGGAAGTATAATAGTAAATAACTATCTAAGATTGATGTTTTAATTTAGTTTGATGAAAGGTTAATTTCATATAATACTTTATTATTATAATTTATATGAAAAAATGCTAAACACGACTGAATGGAAGCATAAGAGCAAATAACTATTTCAGATCATTATTGTAATATTATAATTTATATCAAAAAATTGGGCTAAACATAACTCAATGGATTCCTGCATTGCTATTTCTCCACCGAGTTATCGCTAAAGCATAATTCCATCTCGTTCGTTGTTCAAACATAATTTTCTATAATGAATGATGGACTTTCTTTGAAAATAATCTCGGTAAAGTGCAGACTTTTCGCTCACTGGATTTAGTCCGCAAATTGTTAAATCCATAGGATATCAAAACAATTGAATTTTTGTCAATTTTCTTTTACTTTTTAAGTGAAAATAGGTCGATGTGTACATAGATAAGCCAAGGGTGTGCGCAGTGCCATTTTGTGCAATTCTGGGATTTTTTTTTAAGTGAAAATGGTCGATGTGCACATGGATACCGAGTATGTGCAATTCTTAACAAAACGCGTCAAACAGTTAAACGCGTGATTCTGCACTTTACCCAAAATTCTATTGCCGACTTTTCGTCATGGGCAATTCCCAAATTGTTAAATCCATAGGATATTAAAAAAGGATTTAAAATCCAAAAAGGATTTAAAAATTAAACTAGTATTTTAATGGCGTTTTAAGAAATATAGAACTATATAAACTTACGCAATCTGAAATCAGCGCGTACGCTCGATTTGGCGCGCTGTTAAATGAGCGCGTTTGCTAGATTTGGCGTTTTTGCGCATATATTTTCGCTGCAATTTTTTACGGTCCTCAAAACGGAATAGTACCAAAATTTTTTTTTACCCTTATGCGTATACTATACATTTATAATTTCCAGTGCATCCTTCTAAAAAATAAAGGCGGTTATGCTGGAAATTTAGGAGGAAGGCATGTGCACAAAATGTTTGTTTTTTGCTTTTAAAGTGTTTGTCATTTCCTGTAAGCTCAGATAAGATGTGCCGAAAGTGTTTAAGGAATTGTGAAAAGCTGCTTTAATGTAACGCCGGATACAGAACGAGAATTTACTTTTTGTTGCATCATGTCCACTCTAGTATACAAGTTTAAATTTGTTTATTTTTCTGTAAATGCGTTAACAGATTCCATTCCTCTGTTCATTCATTCTTTAATATTAGAACTTTCAACTGTCGATCCTAGATGGCTGTATAGCATCACTAAGTAAAGCACTGCTATTTGGAAAATGGCTGCTACTTTTGTTTCCAAGTTAGTACAATTTCTCATAGTAAACATTATGTAATATTGTTTACATTTTCTTATACTGCCAATTTTTATTCCTAATTAGTAATTTAAACATTTTGTTTTAAATGTCAGTTTGAGAAAATTGTGGAGTGAGTATATAAAGATCTACCAAAAAGAGTGAATTGAAACCCAAATGTACTGCTTAACAAGGCAAAACATCACTGGAAATGTTTATGTTTGGCAATGAATTTCTAGAACATTTTATTCCAATAGGTACAGGTTACAAAATCGTAGCAAAATGAATTCAATCCCAATTGACGAAATGAATGTATTTTGGAGGATCTGTATGTACATGTCAGTGGTAGATTTACCATTTAGAAGATGGTAATGATCACTGCAAACAAGGCAGAAAACGATTTCAAATGCAATGACCGTAAATCGTTGGGAAGAAATTTGTATGCATGTACGTATATGCATGCTGTCCGCTGTAGTGAACAAACTGTAGCAATTATTTAAAACGAAATTTGAATAAAATTAATTTTTTTATTATTACTAAGGTTATTTTAAAACCTAAGGTTATTTTACTACAAGTATAAGGTACTAAGGTTACTAAGGTTATTTTACTAAGGTTATCTACTAAGGTTATTTTAATACAAGTATTTCCGTTTAACTTCTCTAGATTATTTGTATGCAACAAAGGGTTAAATAAGTTATCCTGAGTCCCGCGTAACAGACAAGGAATCTTTGAAAAAACAGCATATTTACATAATACGGGAAAAGCTATGCATGTGCATGTTTAATATTGAACTTCAAAACACCTTTTATCATTTCAGATAGCAAATTATGTAAACAAAAATAATAAAAAATTTTAAATATACAATTATTACGTTTTTCAACAGCTTAACGCGCAAAAATTCTAGACCATGTTTATTTTATTTTTAAAAAAGTGTTTTGTATATATATATGTGTGTGTGTGTGCGCGCGTGTGTGTGTATTAATTAAAATCACATCCTGTACATTTTGTACATACATGAATTTATATGAAAGAAGTGCACACCTGTAAAAAATAAAATTAGAGAAAGAAAATTGCTTAATTTCTCTAAATTTTTAATCAGAATTCTTTTGCAGCTTTTTTACCCTTCAGAAGAAGTGCAATGTGTTAATTTATCATCAAAATAGATGTTTTCATTTGATATCTACATCAAAGGAAAATTGTTTTTGTTTTGCCTAATTTTACATGTTCTCACTTAATTTGCATGTAACTATTGTAACATATATTTTAAATTAAAAAAAAATTTAATTGGTATATGTTTTTTTTTCAATAAAGATTAATTGAAAGCAATTTGAAATTAAGAATAGTATTACAAGTACCAGTGGTTATTGTTGTTGTCTTGTCCATATTACATGGAACAATGGTTGCCAGAGTCTACTCCGAAGAGAGGTTGGATTTCTTGGGGGATATCACCCCTCTCCTCTCCCATCAATCCACACGAGAGGACCTCTCGCCGCATACTTGGGGTGCCGCCATGCCGCACCAACACTATACATTTACAAACATCTCTGTCTTTTACCCGAGATTCGAGCCTGATCCCTTCGCTACCATAGTAGGCTCCCTTAACCACTATACCGTCTGGGCGACTGGAGGGGTTTTGGTTTGGTTTATTTAATTATGGCAAAGCACACTAGGCTATCTGCTTAAGGGGAGGGATGCCCTCGTGGAGGGCTTTCTAAGGGAAACTGGCTCCTATACACGTTACACGTATATAGCGTAATGGAGTTAGCTTGGTTCGAGATTCATTTTAAAAATTTCCCTTGAAAAGCCAAAATGAATTTCGAATTGGGCTAATTAACCATTTTCCGCTTCTTAATTTTAATATTTTTTGCATTTTACCTTGTTCAATCGATTAGTATTTTACTGTGTTTTATAATTTACTTTTTATTTAGCATATAGCCTATTTTTTTACCTCATTTAATTGTTTTTTTTTTTTTTTTTTCTTTACTGTGTTAAAATTTCTTAAATTGTTTAGCATATAGCTTTTATATTAATTTAACTTGTAAATATACAAATATTTTTTCCATTTTCACACTTTTCATAGCAACTGAATATGCTTATGTTGGAGTTTTCGAGGAGCCACAGCTCTTGGTAACGTTTTGGCAAGCTTACTGAAGTTTATGTTCTAATTTCCTTTATTTTGCAGAACAATGCGCAAAATTTTGACCTAAATTGGTCTTTTTAGTTTTGTTCTTACAACCTTACTTAAGTTATTATGAAAAGCTTTTTATTCATCATCTACAAGGAAAAGAAATTTAATTAAAACTATGACTTATTAGAAAAAATCTTAGTAAATATTTTAAGTAGTATTTAGATTTTTATTGTAGTAAAAATTATTTAAAATCTGTACAGAAAAATTTTAAACATGAAAAAAAGTACTGAAAATGTAGCTATTGTCATTGATCGCAGATTAATTGACTTGTCGAGGGGACCAAACCAATCTACTATCCATTAACAATAACGAAATTAAGTGAGAATTTTTCGTCTTTTTTCAGAAAAGGATCAAATTAGTTATTTTGCTAGAGTGGTATCATAAGGTACGAACGATAATCAATTATTAGAAAGATATTAGTCTACTTAAACCCAAAAATTTTGTCATAAACAAAATCTAAAATAAAAATTATTCTTCTTAATTTAAGGTATTCGTTGAAATGAATTAAATAAGATCCTTATTTTAGCACCGACACTCTCAGAATATTGTCAAAACCATTAAAAAGCTATCGATACTTGTACAAATTAATATATACAAAAGGAGACATTAATAGAAAAATATACAAATGATTACATTATTTTAGATTAAAACATTTTTTTATAATGAAACTCAAATCAAAAGTTAAAACGAAATTTATACATTCTTTTATGTTAAAACGTTCATCTCAAAATCAAAAGTGAAATTAAAATTTATATAGTTTTCTATATTAACCCGTTCAATTAAAACTAGTTATTTATATATACAAATTTAGGAACAATGCCAGGAAGCAATTTGATTTACTTGCCTGCAAAATTTTAAACGAAATGGTGGGTAATGTAAATGTATTCAGGGATGTAATATAATAGGGTTGTCGTAATAAGTGATTGGTTTTATGATATGGAGTCTTAAATTGGCGAGTAATCTTACTGTCAGAGATTCTTTTTTAGTAAATAATTTTTAATCAAAGAGAAGAAGTTAATTAGTTCATTTCTGGCGTCTAAAAAGCATAAAGAAGGAGGAGGTGTCTTCACTTGTAAAGATTTATTTACCAGACTGAGAGAAAAATGAAGTAGACCTATTCATTAGTAACAGAATGGAATGTCAAGAAAAACTTATAATTTACATTATATACAAAAACTATTTACAAATCTTTAATTAACAGATATCCAACTTTATATTCTATTACAATGTTCTCCAGATACATGTTTATATATCCTATCACAATGTTTCAAATGTCAGAACACATCTTGACACTATTAACATGATTGGATTTGTATACTTCCTTTTAAAAATCAAAATTTATTTAAAAAGAAATAGACTGAAAAAGAAGCAGTTATAAAATTTCACGGAGCACTCAAGTTGGATGAAAAGTCCTAATAAAGAACTTTCTTTTCATGTATCTCCTATACGCGGTTTTTGTTTTGGTCCACAAGATTTAAAAAGAAAAAGACTGAAAAAGAAGCAGTTATAAAATTTCACGGAGCACTCAAGTTGGATGAAGAAAAGTCCTAATAAAGAACTTTCTTTTCATGTATCTCCTATACGCGGTTTTTGTTTTGGTCCACAAGATTTAAAAAAAAAAACTGAAAAAATCTTTAAAAATTTCACGGAGCACTCAAGTTGGATGAAGAAAGTCCTAATAAAGAACTTTCTTTTCATGTATCTCCTATACGCGGTTTTTGTTTTGGTCCACAAGATTTAAAAAGAAAAAGACCTGAAAAAGAAGCGTTATAAAATTTCACGGAGCACTCAAGTTGGATGAAGAAAAGTCCTAATAAAGAACTTTCTTTTCATGTATCTCCTATACGCGGTTTTTGTTTTGGTCCACAAGATTTAAAAAAGAAAAAGACTGAAAAAGAAGCAGTTATAAAATTTCATGGAGCACTCAAGTTGGATGAAGAAAAGTCCTAATAAAGAACTTTCTTTTCATGTATCTCCTATACGCGGTTTTTGTTTTGGTCCACAAGATTTAAAAAGAAAAAGACTGAAAAAGAAGCAGTTATAAAATTTCACGGAGCACTCAAGTTGGATGAAGAAAAGTCCTAATAAAGAACTTTCTTTTCATGTATCTCCTATACGCGGTTTTTGTTTTGGTCCACAAGATTTAAAAAAGAAAAAGACTGAAAAAGAAGCAGTTATAAAATTTCACGGAGCACTCAAGTTGGATGAAGAAAAGTCCTAATAAAGAACTTTCTTTTCATGTATCTCCTATACGCGGTTTTTGTTTTGGTCCACAAGATTTAAAAAGAAAAAGACTGAAAAAGAAGCAGTTATAAAATTTCACGGAGCACTCAAGTTGGATGACGAAAAGTCCTAATAAAGACTTTCTTTTCATGTATTCCTATACGCGTTTTTGTTTTGGTCCAAAGATTTAAAAAAAAAAAGACTGAAAAAGAAGCAGTTATAAAATTTCACGGAGCACTCAAGTTGGGATGAAGAAAAGTCCTAATAAGAACTTTCTTTTCATGTATCTCCTATACGCGGTTTTTGTTTTGGTCACAAGATTTAAAAAGAAAAAGACGAAAAGAAGCAGTATAAAATTTCACGGAGCACTCAAGTTGGATGAAAAGTCCTAATAAAGAACTTTCTTTTCATGTATCTCCTATACGCGGTTTTTGTTTTGGCCCACAAGAATTCTGAAGTGAGGGATATCAGTCCTATTAAAAGACCCAATACTAATAAGTAGAAAGGCCCTTGCAGGTCTTCCAGAGTGACTTTGACGCTGTGATTTTGAAGGATGGTAGTGATATCATAACATTCGTCTCGTTGAGGACTATGGTTATCTTTCCAGTGTCTCAATATGCCGCTTTCCTTCATCTGTTGTATCCTGCAAGAAAACAAAGGCAGCTGTAGGTACGCAATTTATTACTAAAGTTTTGCAGCTGTTAGGTGGTATTATTCTGGGAAAGGTTCGCTGTTTGTCAAACATTTACAATGGCACGTCTCGCAGATAACAAAATTTACGTATCTTACAAGTTAGTACACGAAACGGCTTGTCGATGTTATGACTTATCTCACTTCTGTGCAGTAACGCCAGAACAAGCCCCTAAATTTATCGTGGCAATGAGAGTAACATTAGCGCCTGTCGTTGGCGAGAGCCTTGAGCACCTTAGGACCAAGGGCTAAGGCATTTGGATTACGGAGTACCTTTGCAATTACCTCCACATCATCGTTCATAAAAATGAAATAAATAAGAGAAAAGCAGTCGCTGATGAAAGAGCAGATAAGCCAGGGATAAATAGAAGGGCTAGGTCATTCCTTTGTTCGACTCCTCGCCGACGCGAGTCTCATAGAGGGGGGGAACCAGAAGTAATCTGACGTATCTCTGTTGCACCTGCTCTGATTTCGCGCCTTTAAAACTGTAGTTTCATTCAGTTGCGAGACGATTTTCTGGAGATCGCATATCCCAAATTAATTTTAATCATAATATTTGTTTTCTAATAATGCAAATATTTAAAATAATTTGTGTATATGTAGTTTTAGTCAGTTTTCCTTTTAAATTCTATATTTAAAGTATCCTTTATGTAATATGGCTTCTTGTGCTGTAGCAACGTGCCGTAACACTTATAGAAATACGAAAGGAAGAGATATTGTATTTCATGCTTTCCCCAAGGACAATTTGCTTTTGACGAAAGAATGGATACATAAATGTCGAAGACAGGATTCTATTAATGTGAAAAACGCAAGAATTTACAGCGAACATTTTCTGTGCAGTGATTATGAAGATGACATGAGAAATCGCTTGCTTGGATTGCCGCAAAAGAAACACCAAGAAATCGGAGACATTTCAAAAAACTAATGCAGAGTGCTTTTGAAAGACTACACGAATTAAGCCCAAAGAAAATTTATTTTGAGACCGAGAACGAAATTGAAGCTGACAATAATAAATCAAATGTGAATGATTTTGAAATAAAACTCACAAGTGACAATGCCCTATGTGACAATATCCCTGAGTGCCCTAAGTGTAAAGATAAACAAGAATGTATTGATAATTTGAAGAACAAAATAATATCCTTAGAAAATTGTAATAAAATATTGAAAAATAGAGAAAAGAAAGATTTTAGAATGTTTTGCTCAGCGACAAAGAAGGTGGACGACATCTAGAAAGAAATTTGTATCGGAAATTGAGAAATTAAAATCCCAAACAGCGAAATTTAGGAAAAAACAGAACAGATCGGAGAATTTGGAAAAACGTCTAAAGCATATTTTTACAAAGACGCAGGTTAACGCATTGCTGGAAAAGAAGGAAAAAATCCGGTGGACTAGTGAAGATATTTCACGTTGCATTGTCATAAGAGCTCTGTCATCTAAAAGCTACGATTTTTGGAAAGATTAACAGAAATTTTGCCATATATAACCATACACGTTTAAAACTATGCCAATTTAAGGTTGTTTTTTTGATTAATTTTAAATAGCTGTTATTATAGTTATCTTAGCAGTAGTACAGTTCTCTTAGTTAACATGCAGATAAAGAAATGATTAGAAACAAACAGGCATTAAAGAAAAAAAAAAATCCCTGCAAATAAAAAGGAACTTTATGCTAGAGTAGCGCATTTTATCTATTATTTTAAAATTGCGTAAGTACTATTAAATTTTGTAATGTTCAGTGTAAAATGCATACTGCAGTAACATTGTCTCTTCCAAATTATAGCTATCTTTCACACACAGTCATTTTAAACGCTGATTCTTCAAATTTAAACGCAATTTCTATGTTGTCAATGCATCTCCGTGCTCAGTGGCATCATTGCTACGTCATCACTCCTCACTGCCTGTTTCAGGGGGAAACGCTCTATGAGCTAGCCATGGAGGTAGGAAGTAAGAAGGAGTCGCCCTAAAGTTTCTCCGTACCCTGCTCTGAAGCACCGGCGATCCCTACGTGGTGACCAAAACATTGGGTCATTTACCATTGAGTTCTATGGGATTTGACGCGTTCGGGTGTAAATATTTTGTAATTACGTCGCAAATATACATATAAATGTATATATTTTCTTTTTCTACAACACTTCAGAGTCCTAAGTATGTGAAAACAACATATTTTTAAACAACATTTCATTCTGAACGGAATTAAATGCTATACTTTTCACAGGACAGTTTTTCTCAGAATGGTTTAATTTGAATGAAATATTTTCACAAGTTTTCGTTAATTAGCATTAAAATTAAAATTCGATTTTAAAGGTTTAAAAATTATTGCATTATTTTCTTTTCTATTTAGAGCTTCTTCTTAAAATACTTTCTTAAATATGACATGATTTTTTGGCTTCTTTTAAATCGAAAAATGTAAGTCAATTTATAATTAATGCTCTATTCGGTTCATTTTAAATTAGAGAATTATTAGGAATTAGCGAATACTTTAAATAGTACTTGACTTTCTTCCTGAACATTTCTGAAAGGGAATAAAATAAGTTTTTTTTTTTTTTTTTTTTAAGTATTATTTAAAACTTGTAACTGAGTTATTATAAAATGTAAAGGGAATAATTCTTTTAATTATACTTATCAGATTTTTTTTTTTTTTTACCCTTCATTTCAACAATATATATTCCAAAACTCTTTATTACGTTCTTAAGTGCGCATCTCATAGCATTTGCTTTACAATACCTTTTAACAGATTGCTTTCCAATACGAACAATTCTTGCTTAAATAGTTTTATAACGTATTTGTCAACAGGATTTCAATTTATGTTTACAATTCAATATTAAGGTTATTATATATTTAGATAACATTTATAATCATTATAAATTAGATACATTTAATCATTAGATTTCTTCACAGTACTTTCACAGTTGTTTATAAGTGAATAAATTCTTCATTTCAAATACATTTATAAATAATTTAATGAATATTTAAGTATTTTGTCAAAGGCAGATACATGCTTTTTGCAAGCACATGCATAAATACCCATACATATTTCCTATTATCATTTCCCGCATGTGCAAATCTTTAATTTCTGTGCATTCACTATATTTTTCGTGTAAAGTAATTTACACTAATTTAGCATACACCCGAAAGTTTTACATAAAAAATATATATGAATATAATTTGAATGAAAATTATAAGTATTATTTTTAATACCCACTCAAAGGTCAGTTTTTCTTCAAAATTCCTCCACGAATGGCATCTCTCTCTTTAGGCAGATAGCCCTTGCATGCGTTACTCTATTTAATAAAAACTTAATCTGACCTATGTGCCTAATTACAAATATTTTAACATACATAATTTTATATTTACATTTAGCCATCAAGTTTCAAACTTTTCAAATCTTCTAGAAAATAAATTTTGGCAGATCTCTTTTAGGCAATTTTCTTAAAATCTATATTTTTGTAGTGCAACAGCTTAGAAATTTTATAAAACAATTCATAATCAAAATTGCTGTTGTTAGTTATCGAAAAATAACCAAGATGTGATTTTTGCGTAAAAGTCAGTAAACTATACAAATTGCTATTATCCATTACACTATGAATGTTTCTTTCATGCGAGAGTGTCCCTTTTTCAATTTCTATGGAACTGTCGTGTGTCGAAATACTATCAGAATCTTGTCAAGCGAGCTTCTGAATGTAAACAAACAACACCCCGTCTGGTGACCCAAGCTTCAAAGCAGTGCTTCACTTCTAGCGCGGAATGGCCCCTCCTCCCTTTCTTACCTCAAGCTGAAGTCAGGAGTCGGTGACAGTACCACTTCGCTCAGTTCCGCCCCCCAATACCCGGGAGGGGGACAAGTCCGAGGGCTTCCCACCACTCTTCCTCTACCAGCAAGCTTCTGAAGTTTCCGGTCTTTTCGAACAGTGGCCTAGTTCGCATAAAAGTGCCAACCTATGATGGGCATCGCTGTGAAGTGTTTGGTTCCGTTGTATTCTATATTTTGTTTAGATATAAATGGATATCAGAAAAGAATAATTAGTATGGTTCGGAATTACGGAATTTAGGCAAATAGGAACAATGATACAATAGTACAAGATTACAATGATACAATAGTACAAGATTACAATGATACAATAGTACAAGATTAACGCCACGAACAAAGGTGTCCAAAAACGTTAATGCAAATGCATGTAGATTTTGATTTTTTTGTATTGAGGAAATACGCATATATGAAATCATGCGCACTTACAAAACTGCTAACTCGGAGACCTTTTTTATGATATTTTGCTAATGGTTATAGAACGATGTGAAAAAACAACGGATTGATTTTGCAGTCAAAGAATAGTTTCTACGACGATAACGATAGAACATACAGAGTGGTAAATATTAAAAGTTTTTGGTAAAAAATATTGTTGCGAATTTTGAACATAGACAGATGATTTTAGAACAATTATACGTGAAATTGTTATATTTTGCCGCGTAATGTAACATGAAAAATCTGTAAGAGACAAGCTATGACGGAAAAGTAAGAATACGTCCATTTAACATTGAAGTAAATGTGTATCTCGGTAATTAATATTTCGTTACCGAGTTATCGCTAAAGCATTATTTCATCTCGTTGGTTGTTCAAACATAATTTTCTATAATAAATCATGCCTTTTCTTTGAAAAAATTCTATTGAAGACTTTTCGTTATGGGCAATATCAATAAAAATAAAAAATAAAACTAAAATAAAACTAGTATTTTAATAGCGCTTTAAGAAATATAGAACTATCTAAACTTACGCAATTTGAAATAAGCGCGTACGCTAGATTTGGCGCGCTTTTAAATGGGCGCATGTGCTAGATTTGGCGCTTTTACACATACAATTTCGCTGCAATTTTTTACGGTCCTCAAAACGGAATAGTACCGAAATATCTTTTATAATTACAATAAATTTTTATAAACCTTATCTATTAAACAGGATGTAAATTACGTCAATTAAATATTTTATAAATTTGAACGTATTTAAAAATAAGTCATAAGGTATTATAAAGTATGTTTGTTGTTCGACACTGGTTTAAATGGTCAGTTTATGAAGCAATGAAAAGTTTTAATTGGAAATGGAAAAGGAAATTAGCAATCTGCGCCAAGTGACTATTAACTAAGCTGTGCCAAAGATGATTTTTGCAAAGTATTTATTTATCTAACTGGTTATTTTAAGAGATGTTTTAGATTGTTTAAATAGAGTGTAGTCCACTCTCTGAAGGCCGCCTTACTAGTTGAAATTCTATGAAAGCAGTTTGTCTTCTGCGTTCTGCCAATAATGCTTTTTCTTGCCGGTATAGGTTAAGCCACTTGCCTGTTAATCATTTCTGTGTAGCCTTTGTGATAACTTAAGATTTAGCCTAATTTAATTTGAATTCCTTATTTTTGAGCTACGCCATAAATGCTGGCTGGCTTTGTAAGCGGACGGAGTGTCTTTTGTTCAACGTTTGGTTTGTGGTTTTATGAGATTAAGGCAAAGCTTCGAGGACTATCTGCCTAGGGGTAGGCATGCCATCGTGGAGGACTTTCTAAGGGAAACTGGCTGGTATGCACGTTACACATAGGGAAAATCACGAAAACGCTAGCCTGTTCGCGGAGTTTGATCCTCGGACCGAACTACCTGTATTCAGCGACTTTTATCGCTCGGCCGCTAGTGGGCCCTTTTGTTCAATAGTTTGTTTGAGTTCTCAATGAAAGGGTCTTTTACAACCTTTCTTACATTCTCTATTTTCTTTCAAGACAGCGATAATTCTCGACTTAAGGTATGCTTTCCCAAAACGTGAGACTCCATAAATTATCCATAAAAAATAACGTGAGACTCCATAAAAAATCCACTTGCAAGATGCGGTGGCCTGGAAATCGATTGGTAACATAATGTTACGTAGTATAATTTAACATAATGAATATAGGAAAGATTGTCATGTCAAAATCAATAACTTACTCCATATTAATGGCAGGCATCAGAGATGATCCTCGTCTAAGGCCAAGAGAAAAATCTTTTCTTGAAAATGTTGATGGTGCGATGGTGATTCTACAGCGATTATGATTTTGATAATCCGTTTCTACCATTTTGGCTAAATAATTCATATCGTCGATGAAAACTGTCTTCCCTGCTGCGACGTCGTCAACAATTTTGAAATTGCGTCGATTTAGTACTCGAAGACGCAATGGATTTTTCAAGTATGTTTTCCGAATTTGCTCAAAAACTTCGATATTCGACTCCTACAAAAAGATAATTTAAAAATTACTTAAATATACACTTACATGATTAAACTCAAGATGATGGAATTAAGATCATACAATGTAACTTAGATATACTGTTTACAGATTAAAAGTGTTTAAATGTATTATGTTTCATCAACCTCTTGCAGCAAATTATTTAAAACTTGGTGCAAAAATCTTATGAATTTTGCGAATATAATTTAATTCTATGGTAAATATGTAAACATACTCTGAGTATATTAAGAAATAGTCTTCAAATTTACACATTAATAGAAATATACTGTTCTTCAGCACATTTATAGGAATATACTGTTTCTTTAAATTATTAGAAGAGGTTATAGAAATAAAGCAACAAAAAAGGCAATATTTCAATGAATTTGCACTCAACGTACGTAAGAAGTACAAGAAGACTCCACTTAACGCGGGGTATACGTTCCATCAAAGTAGAGCGTAATATGAAACAGCGTTAAACGAGGTTATCTCATCATGTAAATAATGGGGTTGGGGGAAGATCAGAAGAAAATTGGTCAGATATTTTAACACTAAATTTACTAATTATGTTTTTATAACAATAAAAAAAACTTATTTCTTACAAATATAGAAGCATAATAAACGAATATACTGTTACGAATTTGGCATTTAAATAATTAATGTTAGTTGAATTGTAAATTAAATGGTTTTATTTCCCGCGCAGTGCAGCGCGTGACGAATATTAAAAGAAAGCTAAGCCGGAAAATTGAAAATACAAGAGCGCGTGCATTTAACATTTAATAAATATCTCTTTTTGATTTTGAGAAAGTACTAGAAAATTTTCGCGCGCGAATTTAAAATCTTATAAAAGGAGGAAAACCTCTCAGTTCGTTGTGGTTACTTAGTTTACGTTGTCTAGAAAACTGTTCTTGTTGATTGTAGCGAATTCGCGGATTAGCTTTGTTTAGCTGATTTGAATTAAGTTCTCTTGAATGTTTGAGTAGTTAAAAGATAACTACTGTGAGATATTGTAATATTGCACGAATATCTGAGAAAATTTAAGTATTGTGTTTTATTTATTTGTGATAATAATAAATCGTATTCATTTTTCATCGGACTTGTGCATTCAATTCCAAACGAACCCGTACGCACGCAACAATACATATAAAAATAAATAAAATGCTCAGTATGTTCACATTTCAGATCATTCACTTTCTCTTGCATTTCCAAGTTTTCTGCCTTTTTATCAAGAAGGTATCTAATGTAATTTGCGTTTTCCTTTTGCGCTCTGTAAGAAGTTGTTGGTAAGTGGATAAGGCATCCATAACACTCCGTCTTGCCTTTGAATTCCTGTCAAAATTTGGGTCATTTTCAATAAATTAGTCCACAATTTCTGATATTTTGGTGAAATTGGTTTTTAGAAAATGTTTTTTTTAGATTGGTATTAAGAATATTATATTACAATATTATATTACGACAATATTAAGAATATTATATAAGTTCTTTCTGCTCTTCTTCAGAATCACTACTTTCAGTATTTTTGTGTTCTTCTTGGTCCGTTAATTCCTTGAGCTCATCATTAGAAAGACTTGCTGCTATTTCTTCGACATCTTCCACATTTACTTCATCTAAACCGGTTTGTTTCGCTAATTCCAGTATTTCTTCCACTATTTCATTATATCGACAGAGTGTCCAGTGTCACTGCCCTTGCTTAGATCTGGCCAAATGTTCTTCCACACCCCTTTCAAACATTTTTCTGTTACCTCATCCAAGGAAAGGTTTATGTTTTCTATAGCATTCATGATATTGTAGCTTTTACAAAATTCTCTTATTGATTATTTCTCTTCTCCGTCTGTTTTCTCAAACATCTGTCTAAATATTCACAGCAGGTAATAAGCCTTAAAATTTGATATAACGCCTTGATCCATTGGTTGGAGTAAGGTGTTAGGCTGCAAGAAAACCACTTCGATTGGAATGCATGTTATTAAGTCATATAAATTCTTGGAACATTATCAATTAAGTATTGCTTTTGGTTTAAGTTTTTTAATTTCGCAATAGCGTTTAAAAGACGGGGAAAACTATTTAGTGAACCAATTCAGGAAATTTTTCATAGTTATCCATGATTTTTTTATTAGACTCCCAAATTACAGGGATGTTATTTTCTTTGGTTTTAGAAATAGTAAACAAGTAGTGGTTTTAATTTGAAATCTCTGCTTGCATTACCACGTAGATGTGTTAAGCGATCTTTTGCAGCTTTAAATCCTTTTTCTTCACGGGATAGAAATGTTCGCTGTGGCGTTCTTTCCCAAAATAGGCCTATTCCATCAACATTAAAAACCAATTCTGGAGGATAGTTTCCTCGTTCAGTTATTGTTTTTAATGTCTCTGGGAATTCAGCCGCCGCTTTCGTATCACCACTTGCTGATGCTCCTGTAATCTGTATGTTATGAAGATTGTTTCGATGTTTAAATCTATTAAACCATCCTCAACGTGCAACGAAAGTTTCACTTCTGTCACTTGCGTCAACCTGAATGTAATTAAAAATACTTCTTGCCTTTTCCATTATAATAGATTGGCTTAATGGCATATTGCGTTCAATTTCGTCATCAGTCTATATAGAAAGTCGTTTTCCTATTTCCTCTATTGTATTATTTCTAGAACGGGTAATTTTAGTTGCAGAGCTTGTCGTAGTTGCAGTTGCCGATGACCGTATTTTTTCTTTATTCTTAAGAATAGTCCTTATTGTTGAAGTTACCAAATTCAATGCAGCACCAATTTGAGATTGACTTTCACCAGTATCTAATCTTCTAATCACTTGCATTTTAGTTTCTAGCGAAATGCTTTTTCTTGTTGCTTTATTTTCGTGTTTTTTATTATCACCCATGATAAAACTTAAAAAGCATAATATTTGTCACTATATGTCATTATATTATGTAAATTTATACTTACAATAACGTCAACAAATGTTTGAAACGATAAAAATATGTTCGTATAACACCGTAGGAAAGAAGAAACATATAAACTGCTTCAGATATCGGGAAGCCTAACGCTGCGTGCAATTTCGGGGAATACTTTCCTTTCCACCGACAGCGAGGCAGCCGCTCCACTGGATAGTTAGCATATAGGCCAGGTAGCCCCGTTGACGGAAACAACTTGATCAAAATAACACACTTATATATACATATTGTGCTCAAGACGACTGCTGGGGCAGTGCAAATAAATGCTGGACGAAGACGATAGTGCAGTGATGGAAGAAGGGTGCATTGCGGGTGAGAAGAACAATTTCAGTTACATATTTACAGAGTTATAGATAGGTGGTTACAAAAGACTTTCACAATGTGAACAATAAATGAGTACAGTGCAATATATGGGCAATTAACAAAGTGACCGATAAAACAGTAAGAATAATATCTAAAATAGGGCTAAATACTAAATAGCAATACTAAAAGTAATAAGAAGTAAAACACTAAAAAGTGAAATAATACTTAAAATTAAAAAAGGCAAAACAGTGAAAACAATACATAAAATAAGGCAAAATACATAATTCAAGGTTCATAATTCAAGGTTTACAGTTCAAGGAGATAAATATATACAGGGAATAAGAAAAGTCAAATAAACTAACTTAAGATAAAATTAGTTCATTACAGGTACAGAGCATACAGGGGCTGTGCTGGTGACGAGGATGGTAGCTGAGAATTACTCCAACGTGTCTGAGATTTTGCGTGCAATATTTATGCAATCGCATATGCGTTTCAATGCATTGCAATTTTTCGAAGTAGCTTCGGCCCATGCATGGATGTGGTTTGCTACTGGTTGCCTAAGATGATATTTGGCGGTCTCTCTGCAAGCGAACAGATAGTGGTCCGGGATCTCCTACCATCCCGCATGAGCAACGCTCGTTTTCGCATCGTCTGAAGCGATGCAGGTAAGTCATGAAGGGACCATGTCCTGTTAGATACTGAATGAAGTGAGACGAGCCACTTTTTAGAAGCCGGCAGACTTTTGGAAAAAATCTGTAAACTCTTCTGCCGGTGGTCTCTGTCTCCCACAGATGTCGCCAACGTTTGAGTAATTCTCTCTCGAGCTCAGCTTTTAAGAACGAACCCGGGAGAGGCACGTCAAGTGTGCGAACATGGGGGTCAGTTGTTGCTCTTTTGGCTATTGCATCTGCAATTTTATTATCCAGTATTCCGGTGTGGGCAGGTACCCACTGGAGTTCAGGCCTATAGTATTTAGTTGTTCTTAGTAAGAGTTTTTGTATGGCCCTGACGAGTGGATTTTTACTACATGTGCCTTGGATTGCCTGGAGGCTAGAGGCTGAGTCTGAATATTATACTGGAATAGTTATTTTCCAGTGCGTAGACAAGTGCAGCTTTTAATGTAATCAGTTCAGCCTGAAAAACTGAGTTGTGGTGCTTAAGTTTTCTTTCCCAGGTCTTTAAGATCTGGTTCCCGTCGGGGAATCCAACAATTCAAATAAAAGAGCGTTTAACCGAACAGCGCTAAACGAAACAGTGTTAAGTGGGATCTTACTGTATATTAATGCTTACGCCATATAAAAAAATTAAATTTTCTTCGAGATACACTACTTATTTGTCCGTTTGCTCAATTAAAAGCATTAAATCTGAAGCACTAATTGAAAATTCCAGTCCTTGTCGTTAATCTCAGCTTAATATGAAACGGAAAATATAATATTGTTGCGAAATGCCCAGCTATGGTAAGATAGCTTCCTCGCAAAGCGGGTTTGGGGTTGCCAGAAAATGGCAAGAAAAGGCAGGGTTGCCAGATTTGGCACAGAATCGCCCATTTGTCGATATTTGGTCACAAAACTGGCGATATGCCATAAACGAAGGGAGAATATTCTAAAACGAATCTTAACGGTTTTGCAGAGAATGTTCTGGAAGGCAGATCAAAAGCTATAACCCTGCCTGTACGCGGAGTAGCAGTTTATCGCGAAGAGTATCTTGAGTAGTGTAGTATTAGTGACTTGAGTTCAGCTTGAGAGCGACCGACCGAGTCGGGAGCTGTACTCTAGTGCTTTGCCGTGAAGCTGCCTTCACCGTTATAGCCTGAAGGCTGTGTTGCTGATTGTTTCAACGTGTTTATCGTAATTTTTCGACTACTGTAATGCGTTTGTGGAAGTGCTGACATCAATCACGCCAAATACACGAACCCGTAGAACGCAACAATATTATATTAAGAACTTTTATTCTGAAGAATTTACTTACATTAGGTACAGGGTGATCGGCAATTAAGCCCCTGCTTTCAAAATTAAATATCTCTACAACAAAGATCGAAAGAATTATGCGGTAAACTGTACGTTTATTAGCAAAACTGTAAAAAAGGTGAACAAAAGTTTAAAAAATTTTGTTATGAAAATCGTTAACAGATGGCGCTCTAATCGCAATGACCTATCAATAGCCTTTAAAATGTGCTTCGAAGTCGAAAGTGATCAGTACAACTGTTGGCTAGTGAAAAGAGGCTAGCGTAGAAAGTGAAATAATGTATTCCATTGAACAACGTGTATTATAGGTTCTGGAATTTCACCGAATTAGAACACAATCCTACGGCAACACGTCACAGTTTTCAAAACCGATTCAAATGTTCCACTTGGACCTAATGTGAAAAGCTATTCGCATGCTTCTTCGCGAAATTCGAATGGACTGGCAGCGTGGCTGAAGATCGAAAGAAAAAATGGTTGGACCTAAGCAAACTATAGTCACTCCTGAAAATGCAGTGGCAAAGTAGCTAGGGTGTTGGTTCAGCAAATCCTAGGGGACATCTGTCAGCCCGGGCGCATTGCATCCAGAGACAGGGCGCCAAGTACATTATGCACACACAAACATGTTTAGAATAGCCTACGGCTTTTCCATTCAAAATTGGAATTCATCAGGCCATACCCATGAAGCTGTGCACAAAGGTTGACTTTGCGAATCAGATTCTAACAATGATCTACAACGACAGATTTGATGTAAGCTGCATCTGGTTCACAGATGAGGCACATTTTCATTTGAATGGAATTTTAACCTTTTAACTGTCATGCCCGAGATAATCTCGGGCACAGCACTAGTGTTCGAAAATGTCACGCCCGAGTATTACTCGGGGTAATTTTTTTTTGAGTGCATCTTATTGTTATACCCGAATATATATCGGGAGACGTTTATTTCGGCTTCATCTCTTTGTCAAACCCGACTGTATCTCGGGAAAAGTTAATGTGCGCTCAGTTCAATAGATGACAGCACTTTACTGAAGATTTCAAAGGTTAGAGGTTATTTGGTTCAAGCTGCATGGGATCTTTTTGTTGTAAAATAGCGTCCAGTTCTTTGAAACGTTATATAGATGATTTAGATTCTTCAACCGAAGATGAAGGATGTGTGTTTGATGAGCAGTATTCATGATACTTCCATGGTCAGCCTCAAAAATAAAAAAATGGAGATATACTCAAGCCGAAGATTGTTTCTAATTACGTCTAACTATGGGTGGTGTAGATCGCTGTGATCAGGAAATATCCTTTCATCCAACAATCCGAAAACGTCAGATAAAAATTATAAAAAGATATTTTACATTTACTAGACAAGGTACTCTGGAACTCATATTTGCTCTATAAAAATGTAGTTGGGAAACGTATTACATTTTTAGAATTTCGAATCCAAGTTGTAGAAGAGCTTTTACATAAATATGATGATGCAGCTTCTGGACAAAAGAATGTTGGCAGACCACCTACAATAGATAACCCTGCCCGTCTTACTGAACGACATTTTATATCCCATATTCCTCCTACTCCTGCGAAACGTGAGCCTACAAGACAGTGCAAAGTGTGTTGTTCGAAAAAGGATAAAAATGGGGAAAAAGATAAGGAAGGAATCACGATTCTGGTGTAGTGATTGTGGAGTTGGTTTGTGCTTGGAAAAGTGTTTCCAGTTGTACCACACAAGACTGAATTACTGAACTACTAATAGGTATTCACTTATATTTATTTATGTTTTAGAAAAAGTTAATTTTTTTTCATTTTTAGAAAATAATGCTCCACTAGAAGCGAACTTTACAACTGCCATGTTGAGTGACAGCCGCCTCAAAGCAAATATGCAGTGGCTACAAAACTTTAAAAATTTTACCCATGTACGTTCAAAATATCAATTTTTAACTACTTAAGTATATTTTATTTTGTACTAAACATTTGGTTTTTGCAATAAAAAAATTTGACAATTGTGTACCCAAATCTCAAAAACTGAAATAAAAACGAATCAACGAAAATCCTCATTGTGAAGAAAAAGCAGCACGCCTCTACAAAGCCAGACCTTACAAACCCTTTTCGTATAGAAACGATAACTCACGTTCGTTCTTTTGGAACAATTTGTCAGCACTCAACTAGAGTTGGAGGATCAACCAAGTATCGACTGGTTCCTGCAAGATGGGGCTCGACCACATCGAACAAATAAAGTTTTTTCACTTTCTTCATGATACTTTGGGAATAGAGTAATTGCGTTAGATAGTTAGATTATTCTCATTTCTGACACAGGAATAGCTTGGCCTCCATATTCTCCCGATCTGAGTCCTTGAGACTTCTTTCTGTGGGGCACATTGAAACACGCTGTCCTATCGAAACAATCCTGCTACTCTATATGAGCTTTGAATCGTTTATTGGTGTTGCATGTGATTCCATTTCCGTCGAGAGTTTGCAAGACGTGATGTCAAATTTCATTGTTCGTTTACGCCACCTCATTGTTTCGAACGGTGAACATTTTGGAAAAATTATATATTTGATTTCAAAGGCTGCTGCACTTTATTTTTCTAATTAATTTTTTTTACTTCCTTTCAGAGAAAGAATTTTCAGCGTAGAGCGCCATCTGTTAACGATTTTCGTAACTAAATTTTCTAAACTTTTGTACACCATTTTTACAGTTTTGCTAATAAATGTACAGTTCACCGCATAATTCTATCGATTTTTGTTGTAGAGATATTTTGAAATCAGGGCTTATTCGCTGACCACCCTGTAGCTTTTTATTGTCTATTATTAACTGCTTCCAACACAGTAACTGTTTTTAATGATTAAAAACCGTAACTTAAGTGTTAGATTTTTCTAGTTTCGTGATGAAAGGAGTACAGTTTTAATTGTTACATAAAAGTTTAATCTTCTAATCCTAAACAGCTTATTCCTTAATACTTTAAAGGCAATAATAATGTGTTATTCTTTACACATGAATGTACCCAGAAGAAAATTTTTGATGCACCTGGAAATCTTCTAGAACTGGACAGCTCCTCATTATTGCGAGCTGAATTGTCTTATGTTTGGCTAAATCTCCAAGAGATTTTACAATCCATTTTGTTTCGGGAAAAGCTAGAAATGCAATTAAATTTGCACTGTAGGTCGCCATAATGACCATTACTCCAATCCACCAGGAGGAGAGGACCAGACGTGCCGAATTTGTAACAGGAAGATGAGTTCCTCCTGCACAGGAAAGAAAAAAATAGATTTGGGAAGTATTACATATGAAGAAAAGTTGTACAAGAGCTATTAATTTTCAAATATGAAAAACGTATAGATGGTACACAACTTGGTTTGGTTAGATGGTGATGGTTTATAGATGGTTCGTATAAATGGTTTAGCTTTCGTTTTTCCGCTTTTACGGTAATGTGCGTAGCAATAAACATTCAATAGAAACAGCACTTTTAAATTTCAACGTTTCCTGCACTTGCCATTTACCCTTAAGCTTGGGCTGGTTTTCTGCCGACATAAAACAAATTTTGGGTAGAGTAGACTTTAAGGTACCCCTTGTATTATGGCGAAGTTGTTGTTTGATTTATCGCCAAGTTTCATTTAGGGTAGCCTGAGTAGTTGAATATTATGGAAACCCTATTGTGACGTAATCGGTGAATGATTCTGGGAAATTTTGAATCATGGGATGTTTCGTAAGCGTTTTTGTGGTGTGTGTTGAAACCGTTTAGATGGATTTGAATGGGTTTGTAGGAAGAAAGGTTCAGATGGTCACTATCTGAAGCGTTCGATCAGAAAGAGTACCTGGTTTGAAAAAAGTCATTTGAGTATGATTGATATTTTGATTTTTACGTGGCTCTGGTGTGCGAAGCGAACTCGAAAATCATGGTAAGTGAATATTTGCTTTTGGTAGTGCTTAAACGTATAACGTGTTTTTCCTTTTTTATGTTATTTTATTGTTTGGTTAAGGGGACTCATACACCTTAAAACCCATAAGATCTTCGAATATGTGACTGTTGCAAGAATCCTTGCAACTTTTACAGTTTTTTTTTTTTTTTTTGCTTCCAACTTTTTACAGCAGACTACATAATATAGTTGCTATCTGAAATAGTCATCACAAAGTTTGTATTGCCACAAATATTTTTATAATTTAATCCGCTTCGTGACAACCTTTTTCGTCATGTTTCCACCTTGCGCGCACATTTAAAAACCTTCTGTTGCATAATTTAATTCCATATTTAATATATAGCTTTTATAACATTTGAAAACTACTGTGAACCTAAAATTCTATAAATTTCATGTTAAATTTTCTTTTATTTTGAGTTCAGTTTATAAATGTATTTATTAAAAAAATTGTGATGTTTTCGTCCATAAAATTTTTCAATATAAAAATTTTCATAATTTTGTTCAGTTAGAAAATAGTGCCCATATAAAGAATTCCATCCATTCAAGTGTTTCCATTAGCCATTTTTAAAATATCATGCGCGCAAGGTGAAACCTGGCGAAATATTTTGTCACAAAGAAGGTTAAATTACAAAAATATTTGTGGCAAACACAAACTTTCTGGTTACTATTTTCAAAGCAACTAATTATGTAGTCAGCGTAAAAATTGGAAGTAATTGCTTTTAAATAATAAATATCCCAATTCTACGCAGTCACATATTCGAAGATCATAAGGGGTTTAAGTGTATGAGCCCCCTTAAAATGTATTTTGAGATTATGTATTTTTTGTTTGCCTGTATTGTTGAATTGGGTGCTCCTTTGATTTTTTAAGTGAAAATATATCGATGTGCACATGGGCAAAGTAAAGGGAATACGCAATGCAAGTTTGTGCAATTCTTGAATTTCTTTTAAGTGAAAAATAGGTCGACATGCACATGGATAAAGTCAAGGTACTGCGCAATGCCATTTTTCTGCAATTTGGGGATTTTTTTTTTAAGTGAAAATAAGTCGATGTGTACATGGATACCGAGTTTGTGCAATTGTTTGTTTTGTTATTTTGGCTTTGTGGCTTCGCAAGCCAAAATAACGAGTCAAAGAATTGCACAAAATCGGTATCCATGTACCGCCAAACATCGCCAAGTTTCGCCAACTATACTTTTACCCAAATTTTAATATTATATTCTTTTAACCAGTGACAGAAACTGGCTATAACCACTTAAAACGGCGAAAAAATGGAAATAAACTGGAGAAAATTGTAGAGATTACGTTAAGTTTCTAATAGTTATTTTAAGTTTAAACATGCTTTATTGTCTATTCTCGTTTTCCATGCACTATTCCCTACCAGATTTGAGTTTTTAGTGTCACATTATATGCAAATGAGTTGGAGAAGTATTTCAGGAAGGTTCAATTTACTTCGAGAAACAGTGCTTAGGAGTCTTTAATGGCGCGGGTTTGCTTTCTAATTACTTCATTCTTGAATTTACTACGCTCGGCCGTATTGTACGTGCCGTTGATAATCGCCGGCTAGGTTAAATTAAGGGCCAACTACGTTAGGTATTTCTGTTTAGCTTCGGCTAAGTTTGTTTAGTTTAGTATTAGATTAGTTTCTTATTTTGTTATTCTGATTTAAAAGCCCGAGTGGAGGCTTTCCTGTAAGGCCGAGAAGGGGACGTCTGTTATTATTTCTGTGAGTGAAATAAAAGGGTATTTTAGCCCTTTTCGCGAATCTGTCGTAAATACTTGAACTCAGCGATAAGTCGCTACTTAGTTCACTAGGTTCCCATACAATTTAGCATACACAAAGTACTGAGGAACATTATAAACTCATAAAATAAGGAAATATTATAACCCTTTCAGGGCGGTGGTTTCGCCTTGAAACCGCATTTTCAACATTTTTTTTAATTGAGAAAATTTGGTTTTTTTCCCCCCTCAAAACCGCTGCTAAAATTAAATTACTACCTAAAGCTGATAACAGATGGCAGCACCAAATCTCTCTGGGCATCCACTTAATTGATACGAATCATTCAAAAATAGCTTCTTTTCCACACTGCTCCTTTTGACCTATTTTAAAAACAAAAAACCCAAAACTTTTTAATTTTTCCACAATATATTTTATCAGCAGGCATCAATGAGTAGTGAAATGTCCTTAGTTCACAAAAAAAAAGTAAAAAAAAAAAAAAAAAAAAAAAAAAAAAAAAAATGGAACCCTTTTAATTTTGAATGTTTTCATTGCGGTTTCAGTATGAAACCACCGCCCCTCTGAGACATCGAAGAAAGGATCAGATGACGCAGTCGCGAGATTTTTTGCAGTTGTGTGTTATTGTTGCTTTCGGATCACTGCTGTAAACAGTTGCACAATATCTTCGTTTGAGTGGCTTCAAAGATGAGGATTTATGGAGCTTTTGAGAGAGGGAAAACATTTCTTATTTTTTACAGAGACACAGAGCACACTGAAGAAACACTCACAGTTGCGTTTTTTATTATGCTTCTCTTAGCGGTCGCTTTTCTCATTCTTCTAGTTCATAGTAAAATAATTTGTATGCATCTTAATTTATTTTATTTCCATATATAATTGTCTTAGTTTTTAACATAATTTTTAAAAATTATTTTCATAGTTTTATGTAAGTAATTTAGTGCATTATTAGTTACATTTTTGTCTCATACTTTTTTGTTCCTGTTTTAAATTTTTTATTTATAATTAAAAATGCGTGTTTATGCAAATATTACTTACTTCATTAGTTGTTCAGTAATTTACTAGTATAATCTGCAATTTGGGTTACGTTCAGATACTTTTCAGCAAAGTAAAGATAAATAAGCAAATGTTTAGTCTTAAATGCTCTAGACGGGCGCTGGTTTCAAGGCGAAACCGGTCCCCTTTCCATAAAGAGGGACGAAAAAAAATTTTTTTAAACTCATTTATGTCGTCTATAGGACCATTGCGTGACATTATGCTTACTTTTTCATAACTTTTAAAAAATCATAACATTGCGCCCCTGAAAGGGATAAAGGAACTTATTAAAAAACTTATAAAATAAGGAAACTTATAAAAGGAATATTATAAACTTATAAAATGATTTACAATGTTTTATTAGTTAGTAACATTTACCTACTAATTAGACTTGTTGTTGTGACTAATCTCACTTGTCTGAAATCAGAACAAGGCGAAATCATCGTGGCAAGATTGCGCCCTGTGGCTGGCTAGAGCCTCGGGCATCGTATGTCGATAGGTTATAAGGTATTTCTCCCGCCTTCCTAGCGTGCCTTCGTGGTGTAGTGGTTCTGCACGCTGGGCCGGCATTCCAGAGGTCCGTGGTTCGATTCCCGGCGAAGGCGTTGTTAATTTTTCATCTCTCCGGCTTTTCCCAAAATACCTAATGTCTCTACAAGGTGACAGTGTAATTTTTCTCTGTTCCGTTTCCCCAGTTTTGAAAACAAGAACTCTTATGGGGCGGGTCCAAGGCCCTCTTTCCCTACCAGCAACCTCTAAAGGGGACTGTCGGCTCGCTGCATATTGTGAGTATCCCCATGCCGTATAGACACTGTACATTTACAAACATCCATGCCTTCTCCAGGATTCGAACCCGGACCCTTCAGAATGACAGTTAGAGTCAGTAAATACTATCCAGATTGGGCGGCGCATTAGATTCTTTTGAAGACTGAATTGAACTGAAGGTTCAATTATTATGCACCGTATCAAATAAAAGTCTTAAGAGATAGTCTTCTTATCAGATAAATGTCTTAATAAAAGGCGGCTTCTATTTTTGCAACCGTTGGTCATAGATAAATAATTTCAATTGCAAAAATTCTTTCAATACGGTAAATATTCATGTTTTGGCATTTTTAAATATTAAAAAAAACTTTGAAAGAATGAAGAAATTTGGCTTTTTATAGGGTCTTTCAACCTCTACAGCTATATTTAGTAAAAGTTTACACTTACATTAAAAACTGAAACACAAAGAATAAAATTGACTCCTGCACGACAAAATTTGGCTCAGATACTTAATTTTAAAATTTGAAAAAATGTTTTCTGAAAATTTGAGGATCATACATAAATTGAAGACAGAAATATTTAAATTGTGGGCAACTGAAAATGAAATATCAATTTCGAAAATGTTTTTTAATGTTAATATATTAAATGCGAACATTTTAATGCAGACTGTCGGTAAAAGCTTTCATGACTAACAATTCTTTCAAAGGGCACATCTTATGGATACATTTTTAAAGAATACTTTTTAGAAATTAGTGGCTGATTTCAAGTATTACCAAATAACAAACCTCAAAATTATTTATGGGAAAATGCTTTATACGTAAAAAATGTAACGAAATTATAAATTAAAGAATGTTACATACTAAGAAATCATTTTCCGCGTAAATCACAAATGAAAAGAAATACAAGGGAGAAACTTAAAAATTAATGAATTTCAAAAATTTATTTTAAAAGAAGTTAAATAATAAAACCCTACGTTATCGCAGCAAAGATAAAAGTTTTAATTTAATACAGAATATATAAATGAAAAATTATCTCCTAAGAAATATGAAGTAAAATTTAGATAGTAAATGTGTACTATTGAGGAAATAAAAAATCGAATTTTGAATTAATTAAACCGGAATTACTAATTAAATTACTGATTAATAAATTAAAAGAAAATTTGAAAATCGTAATATGAATTTATTTTCTACTGTTTTGGCAAGATCATCACGTGCTTCTTTTGCTTTTGCTTTCATTTTCTTATGTGGTACCCGTCACTATCACAAAACCATGAATATAAACCATAAACTTCCCTTGCCATAAAATGGCAAGGGAAGGCAGGGTTGCCACATTTCACGAGAAATCGCCCATTTGGAGGAAAAAATTAGCGATATCCCATGGACGGACGGAGAACCTTCTGGAACGAGTTCTTACCGGTTTAGCCCAGAATGTTCTCGAACTCAAGCCGAAAGCTATATAAACCCTGCTGGTCCGCAGTCAGTTAGTGTGCGTCTCTCATCGAGTGAGTCAATCCCTGCGGAGGCGATCGCGTTGACAGCCGGCCAGCGAGTGCCGAGTAGGTCGTCGAGTGCACCGAAGGAGTCTCGTTAGTGTATCGCGGTTAGGTGCATCGTCGACAGAGCGTGTTGAGCTCTGGAAACGACTGAACCGAAGAGTCAGGAGCTGTTCTCTGTGTGCCGTCGAGTGCATCGCGAGTTGTAGCGTGGAGAGTCTCGAGAGTATGTGGAGTTCCAAGAACGATCAAGCAGAGTCGGGAGCTGTACTGCGGAAAGCAGCGTCGGGTGCTTTGCAGGAAGCTGTCTCCACCATTATAGCCTGAAGACTGTGTCGCTGATCGTGTCAGCGTGTTTATAGTAGTTCATCGACGACTGTAAACGAGATTTGGAGCTGTCCTGACAATACTGGCCAATAAAGTGTGTTTCGATACTTCATCAAGTAGTGTCGTCGTTATTCACTCCAAATCTACTAACCCCGTACGAACGTGAAGAAAGAAAGTAACGTAACAACTGGTGTCAGAAGAAAGAAAAACGTAACAATTGGTGTCAGAAGTGGGATTCGAACCCACGCCCACATTCGTGAACTACTGTAAACATGTTGACACGATCAGCGACACAGCCTTCAGGTTATCAGGCTATCACAGTGGAGACAGCTTCCTGCAAAGCACCCGACTCTGCTTTCCGGAGTACAGCTCCCGAGTCTGCTTGGTCGTTCTTGGAACTCCACGTACTCTCGAGACTCTCCACGCTACAACTCGCGATGCGCCCGACGGCACACAGAGACGGCTCCTGACTCTTCGGTTCAGTCGTTCCTGGAGCTCAACACACTTTCTTGAAGATACACTAAGAGACTCTTTCGATGCACTCGACAACCCACTCGGCAATCGCTGCCCAGATGTCAACTCGATCGACTGCACGCGGACTGACTATCTCGAGACTAACTATCTCGCATTCCATGCAAGGAACCAAATGACTGCGGACCAGCAGAGTTTATATAGCTTTCGGCTTGAGTTTGAGAACATTCTGGGCTAAACCGATAAGAATTCGTTCCAGAAGGTTCTCCATCCGTCCATGGGATATCGCCGATTTTTCGCCAAATGGGCGATTTCTCGCCAAATGTGGCAATCCTACCTTCTCTTGTCATTTTATGGCAACCATAAAACTGCTTTGCGGGGAAGCTATCTTACCGCGCCTGTACATTTCGTAACATTGCTATAAATTTTAAAACATCCAAAATACGAATCTTTGCGTCTTTTAAAACATCTTTATCACTGGAAGAATATGTCTACGAGAAACGATTGAGAAAACAGACCGCCTCAGGACTTTTGTGGATACTGTTTGCATGTACATAAATACATAAATTTCAGCCTGATATATTTTTCTTCGAGGTATATCAGCGATCAAAAATAAAGATGCTTATGAAAGCTCACCTTGCTGTAACGTGGCACCGTATATTAACCAAAAGCAGCGAGAATATGACGATAACTCTTTCGTTTGTTTTTTATCTATTTTGCATATTTTGCAGCTCCACTTGTGCATTAAGAACAGCATGTAACTCATGAGAATAGCGGCGATAACATTCAGACACCAGACCTGAAATATTCAAAATGGAGTTCTGGTCATGTTTGGGTTTGTTTTGCTTTTTAATTAATTCATAAATAATGATCTTCACACATTTATACAATCAGATAAAGTTTATTTATGGTGGTAAATGAGAATCTAAAGTTAAAACTATCATATATTAAAAACACGTATGTTTTGATACACTGAAATTGTATAAGTTGAATTGTTTTGATACACTGAAATTGTTTTGATACACTGAAATTGTATCAATTGAATTGTTTTGATACAGTGAAATTGTTTTGATACACTGAAATTGTATCAATTGTATTGTTTTGATACACTGAAATTGTTTTGATACACTGAAATTGTATCAATTGAATTGTTTTGATACACGACGAAATTGTATCAAAACATACGTGCATGTTTACATTTTACGTGCGTATGGGTTCGTAATGTGTTGAATGCACACAAAATTGATGATAACTTGATAAAATTTATTTTCCCAAAAGGAACACTTCACAGTTTTGGAACTTTCCATTAAACTCTTACAGATCTTCTCAATACGACAGAGCAAAACCAATAGTTACCACTTCAAACTACTGGGAACATAAACACAATGCAATGCAAAGCGCATCTAAACAGCGAAGCTCGCACGGAGATCTTTCAGAAGTTTGAAGTCAACTCTGAACTCAAAACTAAGAACTGATGCTCTCTCTGGCTTTATATAATTTTCCGCAGGCCTTCAAGAAATTCTCAATAACTTAGATGTCGCGAAATTACTGGAAGGCATATACCGTTACAGATACAAATGGCCGGATACAGTTAAAATACATACGAATTGAACTAATTACAGTTATATAACAATCGGATCCAAACGTCGCAAAATGTTCGCCGAGTTTGGCGACTTTTGGTATTTCTTCTCAAATACGGCGACATAAGTAAGCCGCCAGCTTGGTGCTGTTTCGCCTTGCTGGAAGGCTAACACAGTTAGAGCTACACATAGTCAGATAGAATTACATGACATACGGATTGGTCTAATTACAAATATAGATTAATAAAACCGACTTTTCGAGTTTTCTTTTCAAATTTGGCGACAGAAATTAGTCGCAAAAATCATTGATATCTTGGCGCTTTAACTCAACCATTTACCTCAGCGTTAAATAGACTTGCTCCTGAAATATTACTTTCTAGTAAAGCTTCACTTTCTTCAGGCCTTTCAGGTCATATTACGCAAGAGATAGTACAAATTTACGTATAATTTCACAAAAATATTTACGTATATATGAAATTCTTAAAAAGCGTTTTATTTTTTATTTTTTTTTATGATCCTCTTGATTCCAAAAGAAAACAATGATTTCTAACATTCTCGCACCACTTTCATTTCATTGAAAATCTGTTCCGTTTTTCAACAAAAGCTCGGGTTTTTCACAATCCACGCTTTACTTCCGAAGTCGCAAGGTTTATTTTATTTATTTAGTGATTTATTTATTACGTGCTCCACCATTTCGCACTACACGGCAATGGAAGGATACCCGTGGACGAATTTTTAAAGAAAACTGGCTCATAACCACGTTATACATGGGGAAAACCACAAAAACGACAAATATTACACCAGCAACAAGTAAAAGAGAAGACAGCATAACAATCAAAACTTAAGTGCGAGTCCCAGCCTTTACGTTTAGTTGCAAACTAGCAGTAAGCATCTTATAAGCTGTATACTGTGTAGAGCAACATAAATAAATCCTCAATACCTTTTTATATTTTGTAAAACTGGTATAAACGCATAAGATGCCCTAAAATATAATATGCAATGAATTTTTATATAGGATTAAAAAATGCCAAGCAACGTTTAAGATAAAATTATACCTCTTTTCGATAAGGTCTCAAGAAGATGAAGGCCCTTGGTGGTTCACTTGGAAAGGCGACCAAAATGCCATATTTGACAGCAGCTAAGGGCTTACTGTAATCCATTACTGTATGACGGCTAGGTGTCAGGGTTAGGTAGGGAATTATATCAGCTTCCTAAAAATAACACTTTAATAAAAGTCAGTTTATAATTTCTTGAAGTCATGTATTACAGAAAGTGTAAAAAAATAAAGTGCAGCATTTTAAAATCTTTTTCAGTTGAAAATGAACCAAACAGCAAATTAATATTGAAAAGTAACGTTATTCATTTTTAGATGAGAAAATGTGTCATTTAAAAAGCGAGTATTAACGTTCCTTTAGGAATTTGTTAGAATTTTACAGTTTTCCTTATTAACAAATCAAAATAGAATCCTAATTTTCAAAAAATCAACAAATAGAGGAAATTAAATAAATTATTTAATTTTTTTGAAATATTAGAATGAGCTAAAATGAGCTTTCAAAGTTAATATTAAAACCTTATTTCTTAACTTTTCTATATCAAATGAGAAAAAGGCAAATAAAGAATAATGCATGAAATGTTGAAATATTAAAATATTTTAATAATCGTTTGCCAATAAAAGACAAACTGTTTATTTTTTTAAAGAATGGCTTTTCGAAATTAGCAGTGATAAGCATTAGAATTCTAGAAAATGGTCTCTACAGGGAAGGAATACTAAGGAACTACTAAGGAATTTTCGCCTTCCCCAATCACGGATAAAACAAATAAGTCTGCAAAGGTGCCCGATTAAAAGCGTTACGGATAATAATTCGTCATTTCCATTTTCGTTAGTAATCCCACTACGCGAAACCTGAAGTCACCTATGCGACTCGCCGAACGATTAGTTTCTCAGGTTGCTGCCATTCAGCCCATTCAGGAAAAAGTAAGTCTTTCAAAATTTCTTTCCACTTTAATTAATCTCTAACTGTTTAACAAACTGTGCAATTTAAAAATTATTAGTATCATTTTCAGTTAGTTTAAATTTAATTTACCTATTTATTTATGGATGCATAGTTTTTGGCACTGAAATGAGCATTTACGTCATTTTATTTTTAATAACACATCTAACTAATTTAGAATTCAAACAACAAAAGTCAGCGTGGCTGATCCTGGCTGATATCTACATGCATTATTATGAATCAAAATTGTTTGAGACTTTAAACTTCCCGGCATGGTTCCGCTACGTAGACGGATACTTTTACCGTGTTTGAAGGTAATAAAGATGATTTAAATAAGGTTCTTTCAACAATAAATTCTATTGATACTGCTATTCAGTTCACTTTTGAACTTGAGACTTGCAATTCTCTTCCGTTTCTCGACATTCTGGTCACACGTAACACATCCAACTTACAGTGCTACGGTTTACCGTAAACCTTCATCGGTTTGCCTTCCACCACACTTTAAATCATGTCATCCAATCTAAACAAAAGTTGCTTCATTTTATTCCTATGTTTTCCGTGCTCTTCAATTTGCTCCTCCAAAACTATCCCTTGATGAAGAACTAAACTATTTAAAGCAATAGCTATTGACAGGGGCTTTTCACCCAACATTATTAATCAAGCAGTTAAAAAATTCTCATCTCAACACACTAAAAGGCACACTCTTGTTTTAGGAGATTATAAAAAATTCAGTTGTCATTTTCTTCTTTCCATCAATTAGCTATAAAGTTGCACATATTTTGCAGAAATTTAACTTTCGGGTCGTTTATTCTCCCATCAATAAAATTCCGAGTTCCATATTCAAGGACCCCACTCCGGATATGAATTCCTGGGGTATTTATAGGATTCTTTGCCAGTGTGGTTTAATTTACATTGGCCAAACTAAGAGAGCCTTAAAATTTCGCGTCAAGGAACATGAGGCATATGTTGGAAAAAAGGAAACACAGAAGTCTTCCGTTGCTCAACTTTGTTGGTCCGAAAATCACACTTACACTTTCAATTTTTCTGCTGCCAAAATTATTCAAAAAACATCTTCCATTGGAGAACTGGATTTTCTAGAGGCATTTCACAATCAAAAAAATCTTTCTGTTCTAGTTAACGATCCTAATTCCAATCCATCTTTGTCTTCGGCCTTTAAAGAAAATTATGTTTTAGTTCTGGTTTCATAACAGATGGCGCACTTGCTTATTTGTCCAGGCTTTCTTATCTTATTTAATCATTATTTCCTATCTTGTTCATCTGCGGTTTTGCATCTGAGGATGGTGGTTCGGTAAAACCATCGAAACTATTCCTGTGAAAATTTTGAAAATATAACATTGATTTTTGTTGTTTGACTTCTAAATTAGGATTTATTCGGCGTGTTTTTGTGTCTTAACACATCTAACTGATAGAAATTGAAACGCATTGTTGTAAATAATAAAACATATTTATAAAGCCATTTGAAAAACAATGTGAAATATTCTTAATGAATCATTTCAAAAATTTTCAGTAACATTTGTAGAGACATTAGTTTATTTTGAAGCAGTATATGCGAAAAATATGCATTGCCTTCGCCGGGATTCGAACCCTGGACCTCTCGAATACGTGTCAAGTATGCTTCCAATTATATCACGAAGGCATGCGGAAAGGAGGATAAAGTACCCTTATACATTTCAATTGTTTTCTACATTTGTAAAAATGCTTTTGTATTTGTGAAGTCCTTCGCCATTTGGCAATACATTGAAAGTGTGGGACACCCGTGGGGGACTTTTTGAGGGAAATTGGCTTGTATCTACGTTACATATGGGGAAAATCACGAAAACGCCCATAAAGCCAGCCCTTTACCGGGGATTCGAACCCCACATCGAACTATCAGTGTGAATCAGCTTTCATCGCTCGGTTACTGGAGACCTTATCTCCGCAAAATTATATTTCTGATCATGATACTGTCTGATTTTATTCAATGCACATTTTTTTGCTTTGAGCTTTTTACTGTTTCAACGTAGTCACAGATTCCCGAGCCTATCAGTTTGAAAATACTGGGGTTTGCTATGCGTTCTTGATTTTTTTTTTTTTTTTTTTTACATCAGTCTTGATTCCGAAGTACTGCGAAATTTCTTTCATGATACGCGCTTTTGTGACGAAACTTTTAATTTCGAAATGGTATTGCATGCATGTAGTTAAAAATATTCTAACCTAATATCCGAAACCATCGTATACTGGACTCTGCTATAACCAAGAAATATGGGACAATAAATCGTCTGTTCGGAACCAAGTTAAACGGTTTAAAGAAGCGTTCGAAATACTATTTGTTTTTGAGAATAGCTATAAATATTTTCAAGAATAATCAAGATAATATAATTTTAGTTAGCGGCTATAAAATCAGGCAACATTGTTCCATGCGATGCATGACAATTACGTTGTAATTCGGAGAGTGTGCAAACAAATTGTGCTTTTGTACAAAACTTACCCCTCGAGTAACCATCCCAATAGCGCCGATCCATTTCCCGTCAACGAAAGATCCCCATTCTTCATCCGGAGGCGTCACCAATTTGTACCTAAAACCAAAGCAGGTATATAATAAACAGTCCTAAACTACAACTCCTTGAGGCTTTTTTATATTTATAGTATTACTTATTTTATCTCGGGGCATTCATTTGAAGCTGTGTTACGTTTCGTGTAACGTGTGTTATGTGCGTTCGTGTACGTGTGTTACGTTTCGTGTAACGTGCGTTCGTGAACGTGTGTTACGTGTGTTCGTGTACGTGTGTTACGTTTCGTGTTACGTGTGTTCGTTTAGGTGTGTTACGTTTCGTGTCTGCGTGTTGTGTTACGTTTCGTTACGTATGTTCGTTTACGTTACGTGTGTTCGTTTTAAGATTTAAGTTATTTTTATATTAATTCCTTCCTGAACCTTCTAGTTTTTCTATTAGCTATCACCAGGTTTTATTTTTATTAATGAGTATAAGCTTTCGTTAAACAAAGCTATGGGAACCAGGAGATTGTACAAAAAATTGTATTTCTTAGAATTTTTTAAATTAAAATATGTTAAAACATGCATGTCTACGACATTTAAAACACTTGCGAAAAGGATGGAGTTGGAAAATATCAAAACTAAAATAGATAATTATGGAACTATTGCAAAATTGAAATTGTCCATTTAATTTTTAACTTTATATGTATTTCTGGTTAATAAAGATGTTCTAATAATCTGCTTAAAAATTTCAGAAAAATGCGTAATACGAATGTTCATGCAAATGTACCAATTCACAGAAAATTATTAACGGGTCAGTCCATAAGTTCGTACCCATTAAGAGTATGAGTGGAATTCACAATGACGCATTTACTAAAACAATACAATTTTGAACTTGTTGAAACTTGTCACCGTTTGACTAACATTATAGAGATATTAGGTTAGTTGGAAAAGCCGAGAAGATGAAAAATAGCAACCGCCTTCACCGGGAATCGAACCACAGACCTCTGGAACACCGGCCCAGCGTGCAGAACCACTACACCACGAAGGCATGATAGGAATGTGGGAGAAATACCTTATATATACTACCTTTTTTAAAGGGCGACTGGCGCTTTTAGGGAACCCAATCGCCAAATCCTGGGTGTGGAGAATCCTCAGCCAACACCCTTTTAGTTCGGGCGCCACTGAAGAGATATTAGGTTAGTTGGAAAAGCCGGAGAGATGAAAAATAGCAACCGCCTTCTCCGGGAATCGAACCACGGACCTCTGGAATACCGGCCTAGCGTGCAGAACCACTACACAACGAAGGCACGCTAGGAATGTGGGACAAATACCTTATACCATATTATTCAGTTCATCACAATTTTCGTAAATAAAAGTATTTTAGTACCCATAGAAGATGAAAATACATAATCAGTACAAAAACGTGCCGGTGCTACATTTTTTATTTTGGTTTGGTGAATCTGCCAAAAAAAAAAATTAATAATGTACGGTGAACAACCTTAGTGTAAGGACTGCCCAAAAATGGTTTAAAAAAATTTAAAGTTGGAAAAAGCAGCATTGATGATGAACCTCATTCAAGACATTTTGAACTGTTAGAACCAAATCAAACGGTTAATTCAGAAGTTTATAGAGAACAACTTTGCAGTCTAATATCAGAATTGATAAATAATACGCCACGATTGGTGAACATCAAGAAAGCGTGTTTCATCATGATAACGCTAGACCACATACGGCTCGAAAAACGCTGCAAAAAATTTGTGAATTTAATTGGGAGCTTTTGCCTCCTGCTTACTCCCCAGATATTGCCCAAAGTGATTTTCACTTATTTTGTGCTATACAATTTTTTTTTTTACTGGGAAAAAAAATTAAATTCTAAACAGGATGTACAGTCTGTCTATCATAAGAAAAGCTCTCACCAGTTAGTCTGCAGCTGTTTGTTGCCATAGAAACGACCCATTTTCTGTAGGGGTATCTTGAAGATTTACTTTTCAGTTTGCCATCCTGGCGTATTTAAAGATGAACTGGCAACCCCTATTTGAAATATACTAGCCCCGTTGTTATAGCGACCGCCACTCGCCAGACACTGAGGCGGGATGTGTTCTTCTCGTAGACAGACAGTACACAATGAACTTTCAAGTTTTATTTTGCATCAAAACCAGAGTATTTCTACAGCAATGGCATAAAAAAGCTGCCTGTAAGATGGCGACACATTGTAGATAATGGAAGAAAGTATATAATTGATTAAAAACCTAAATTGTGTTTTTTTATATTATTTAGAAATTTACCAAAGTATGTGCACGAATTTATGGACTGACCCAATAGTTATTATAAAATCTAAATGGTAGACTCATTTATAACTCCCTTTTGCTTATAATATTGATACTTATAAGCCCTTCATATCTATAGTTTAATTAAATATACTTAAATTTAATAAATAATTACATAATTAATTAACGATATTTAATTAAATACATTAATGAATATCTTTAATTAAAACTTAATCTCGAGATAAGATATTTAATTAAACACTTAGCCTTCCAGTAATACTTTCGCACGTTTTCGAGTAATGCATAAGAGACCATTGAGAATCACCAAAAGAAGAGAAAAAGAGCTCGTTGATATCCTGGTAAGATATTTTTATTTGATAAAATATTTTTAAGCTATTTAATTAAGGTATTTAATTTTTAAGATATTTTTTAACACTTAAGATATTTTAAATATTTGAAGATATTTAATTAAACACTTAGCCTTCCAGTAATACTTTTGCACGTTTTCGAGTAATATATCAGAGAGCATTGAGAATCACCAGAAGAAGAGAAAAAGAGCTCGTTGATATCCTGGTAACCTCAAATTATTTTTCGCTGTTTCAAACAATCAAGATAATCTTGGGAAATAAAGTTAGTTACGTTTCGGAAGTATTTAGAGCTTTTATTTTGCCACATTGTCCAAAATAAAATACACTTACCTGAAATGTAACCTTCTACTGAGGAATGATAACATTTCTTTAAATACGCACTTCTGTAGTATGACCTCGCCGTCTGTTACATTAAATATAACGTAGGGTATATACTGTTGAGGGAAAACATTATTTTAAATCTGCATTCAAAGAAAAATAAATGCATGTATTAATAAACATAAAATAATTACTTATACAAAAACTTATTTCTAGTGAGAAAACTTAATGGTTATTTCCAAGCGATAGTTGATAATATTATCAACTGAAGTTTTAAAATGCCATTTTACTACCTTGTCCGAAGTAAAAAGGAAGTATTGTAATCGCGGAAAATTTCAGGTATCATATTTCAACGCAAATATCCATTTTCACCGCTATCGAATGCAATTTAACGACGTTTATGTGTCACATCTGTACGTAAGGACAGGATAAAGGACTCTTTCCCCCCAAACAAAAATTGTAAAACTAATTTAAAATGAATTCTGAAGAGAATTTTTCTGCGTCTGTGCGTACGTACGTACGTATGTATCTCGCATAACTCAAAAACTATTAGCCCCAGAACGTTGAAATTCTGTATATAGGACTGCTATAACATGTAGATGTGCGCCTCGTATTTTGGTTGCAATTGGCCGCACCAAAAGTATATAAAATATGTATATTTAACAAATTTAAATTTAATTTTTAACAAATACGTATAAAAGTAAAAAAAGCAGCTTTAGCGCTAATTACCTGGTTTGTTTCTCTTTTTTTTTTATTAAAAAACTTTCTTTTACTAATAGTTTTGTTTTTATTTTAAACTCGATCGTCTAATAATTTAGTTTAATTCTTAATATGTTTGCACATTTTTTTAAAAATTATTTGGCTTTTTTCTTTTTTTGGATTTAAATTTGCTTTTTTACTTTTATTGTATTTGTTAAAAAAATTTAAATTTGTTTAAAATATTTAAGTAAATTTGTATTTAAATTTATTTTTAAATTAAATTCAATTTATTCTAGAAACTATATATATATCCCTCTGTTACTCGGCTCAGTGATCTCAGTTTTTTATTCTTATATGCTTCAAATGTGCATTTTTGTAAAAATGATTGATTAGTTGTCTCATCCTCAAGTTAGGTTTTCATGCGTTAGTAATCTGTATGCAATCTTTAGGCATATCAACATTTAAAAGTTAAGTGCCCTAAGCCTAAGTTTTTTTTCCTTGCGGCATTGCTTGTTTATATTGAAACAGCAGAATAGAAGAGTTGTGCCAATCTAGAGAACGAGTCCATAACGTATCTTGTATTATGAGAATTAAATCATGATAATCCATTTGGATTATCGGAGGAAATAAGTGTTTAAAATTTACTTCAAAATTTCATACAGGCATTTGAGTTTTAATGTATTTTTGCCTTGTCGCGAAGTGAGACTGAATTTATTGATGAGAAATATGAATGTCTGTGAAAACTGTTTTTTTGGTTGTTCTTTGACTTAAAATTTTTATACGTCGTTTTAGATTTATATAGTATTAACCGAACAGGGCAACGATTAAATACTCTTAAGATGATATAAAATTGGTTGAGTTAAAAAATGAACACAAAACGTGTTAAGAAACAGCGCCGGTGTGCTATGTAAACAAATATAGTGAAATTTTAAGAGGGCCGTATCTATTGTGGTTTATGCGCTATCGACGAAGTAGATTTAATCCAATCTAATACGTTTAAATGAAATGCAAGAAAAAATGCATATAATTTAATATTCCGTAAAAGGAGGTCATGTGGTGTACACATTAGATTTTTTATTTCTTTATGAGCTATTTGGGAATAGAAGCATAGTATCGGCTGCAAAACCCTGATTTCAATGTACATAAACAGAACAAAAATGCTTAAAAATCTATGTTATATAATCGTAAACAATATATAAATAAAGAAAGAATATGAGAAAATAATAGCTTATTTAGGTAATTTCTAATTGTAGCAGAAAAACGTTAGAGTGTTTATTGTTCCTCCTTGTATTAATATCACACTGATATTTATTTACAGTCTTTCTCGATTCCGCTATTCGAATGTTGAACATTTTACAGAACATATCTGCTTTATAAAATCATAATGATTTTACTTATATCAGATGGCTGATAATAAACTTTAATTATATTTACTTTAAAAACGAGCAGAAAGAGAGACCTGCAAATACGTAAAAACTAGAGTGGGCATCTACATTTGAAACATAAATACATTTCTAAAAAATTCAATATCTATGCTAATTATTATGAGAAGAAACTAATAGATTCTTATATCGGGTATGAAATTAATGTTTTTACTTCCTTGTACGAAGTAAAAATGAAGTATTGTAATCGCGAAAAGTTTCAGGCAGCATATTTCAACGAAAATATCCATTTTGACTGCTATCGAATGCAATTTAACGATGTTTTTGCGTGATATCTGTACGTAAGGACAGAATAAAAGACTCGTTTCCTCCAAAAAAATTATAAAACTGCTTTAAAATTAATTCTGAAGAGAATTTTTCGTGGCGTCTGTACGAACGTATGTACGTACGTACGTATCTCGCATAACTCAAAAACGAGTAGCCTCAGAACGTTGAAATTTTGTATATAGGACTGCTATAACATGTAGATGTGCACCTCGTATTTTGGTTGCAATCGGCAGCACCAAACGTATATAAATATATTTATATATATATCCACTCTGTTACCCGGCTCAGTGATCTCAGTTTCTTTACTCTTATATGTTTGTAAATTGTACATTTTTTGCTTTAAAAATGATTGAATTATGTTGTTTTTATCTTCCGGTTAAGGTTTTATGCCTTTAGTAAATCTGTGTGCAATATTTTAGAATTATCAGCAATTTTAAAGTTGTTTAAGTGCGCTAAGCCTAATTAATGTTTTTGATGGCGGCCATTGTTTTTACATTTGAAACAGGAGAATAGTGGATTTGTTGCCAATCTAGAGAAACTTAGCTTCGCAAGAACAAAGATAATGCCTTCATTTATTATTGCCAATTAAATCATGCTTAATCCTTTCTGGAATTTTTTCGAGGAAATAAGTTTTTAAGATTTACTTCGTAATTTTTAATATAGATATTTTGAGTTTTTATGTATTTTTGCCTTCTCGCGAAGTGAGAAAATTAATTGAATGAGAAATACTCAATCGTCTGTGAAAAAACTGTTTCTTTTTTGTTTTGTTTGCTTAATTTCTTTTATACATCATTCTAGCTTTATTATAGTATTTGAATAGAACATGTGGCAACGATTAGATAATTCTATTCTTTAAATGATATAAATTTTGTGCATTATGAGTTATAATATGAACGAAATATAATACTGTTAAGTGAATCTAGCGCCAGAGTGTCGCTATGGTAAACAAATACTAGAGTGAATTTTAAAGAATGCATTTATTCTATTGTGGTTTATGCGCTGTCGGCGAAGTAGATTTAATTCAATCCAATAAGTTTAAATGAAATGCAAGAAAAAATGCGTATAATTTAATATTCCGTACAAGGAAGTCATGTGGTGTACACATCAGATTTTTAATATAATTTCAGCGGAGAGGTTTTCCAGTATATTATAAATAAAGACTAAGTAACGAATTTTAAGATCTTCTAAAACGAAGAGGAAAAATAAAGTATTGAACTGAAACTGAAAGTGATTTTTACGTGCACAAAAATATGCCGGACTTGTTTTACAGAACTGACCGTACTTTCTTCGGCAGTTTTTTTCTGACGAACGAACTGACTGTGGAGTTTACTTTTATTTCTGCTAAAATATCTTATTATCTCATTACTCAAAAATATGATCATAAATTATATAAAAAAATATATTACATCTTACGTTAGTTACTCATGACAGCATGCGAAACAACCTATATGTTCGACAAGGGGTAGGGTCCTTGACCCAGACACCCCGGTGTTACATCTCTTCTAAATGCGACCTTTGTCGATTACACACAACGGATAGTTGTTTTAGTTTTTATGTGACTTAGCAAACAAACTGCCATTTTTAATGGTTTTAGTTAAATAATATTTTATTTAACTCTACAATATTTATTGAAATAAAATATAATAATAAAAAAATACATCTCTCACCTACATTACAAAACGCCTTTGTTGTGGAAAGATATCTTTAAGAAAGCAGCTCAATTCGAGGATTAAAAATTTTTCATTGAGTGACATTAAAAAAAGAAGATTTTATGGGAATATGTGAAAAAAATCGTTTTAATTTTATTAGTAACCATTTTCCGAAAAATAATATTTGCGAAAATGATCTTTTTGATAAGGTGTCATTTTAAAAAATATACGTTACTGAAGAAAAAATTAAATGTTCGTTGCCTGCAAATGTGGAAACAAAAAAAAAAAAAAAAAATCTGATGTGTACCACATGACTTCCTTGTACGGAATATTAAATTATACGCATTTTTTCTTGCATTTCATTTAAACTTATTGGATTGAATTAAATCTACTTTGCCGGACAGCGCATAACCCACAAAATAAATGCATTTTAAAATTCACTTTTTTACCATAGCGACACTCTGGCGTTAGGTTCACTTAACATATTATATTTCGTTCGTATTAGAATCAGAATGCACAAAATTTATACATTAAAGAATAGACTCTAATCGTTGCCACATGTTCTATTCAAATACTATAAAAGCTAGAAGGATGTACTCGTATAAAGAAATAAGCAAACAAAACAAAAAGAAGCAGTTTTTCACAGACGTTGAGTATTTTATTCAATTAATTCAGTTCTCACTTCGCGAGAGCAAAAAACATAAAAACTCAAATATCTATATTAAAAATTACGAAGTAAATCTTAAACACTATTTCCTCGAAAAAATCCAGAAAGGATTAAGCATGATTTATTGGCAATAATAAATGAAGCGTTATCTTTTTATTACGAAGCTAAGTTTCTCTAGATTGGCAACAAATCACTAGTCTGCTGTTTCAAATGTAAACAAACAATGGCCGCCATCAAGAGAAGTATAGGCTTAACAACTTTAAAATTGTTGATAATTTAAAATATTGCAGAAGATTACTAAAGGCTTAATCACCTAACCGGAAGATAAGAACCACATAAAGCAATCATTTTTAAGCAAAAGTACAATTTACAACATATAAGTAAGAAACTGAGATCACT